ATGTTGATGAACACCATTTTTAAGAGTTCATTCTAAATAAGTAATACGAAACATGATCCAGACGATAGTGTCCAGTTCTGGGGCCCTGCAGCATAAGAAAGATTTGGATGTGCTGGAGCAAATCCAGAGGAGGGTCATGAAGATGCTCAGAGGGCTGGAGCAACTCCTCCTATGGAGACAGAGTTGGAGCTGCTCAGTCTGGAGAAGAAAAGGCTCCTGGGAAAAGTTAGAGCAGCATTCCAGTACCTAAAGGGAGCTACAAGAGAGCTCCCTTGGAGAGGGACTTTTGTCAAGGGTATGTACAGATAGGACAATGGGGAATGACTTTAAACTGAAATAGGCTAGGTTTAGATTACATATTAAGAAGAAATTCTTTACTGTGGGGTACTGAGGCATTGAACAGGTTGCCCAGAAAGGTTGTGTGTGCTCCGCCCCTGGAAGAGTTCAAAGTCAGGCTGGTTTTTAGCAAGCTGGTCTAGTGGAAGTTGTCCCTGGCCATGACAGGGGCTTGGAACTAGATGATCTTTAAGGTCACTGCCGAAGTGGGCTGTAATTGCTGAAGTTTTTGCTATGTTTACTGAGGTCCTTGTTACTAAGAACGCCTTTGGTGAGGAGACTGCTGTTTCCTGAGCCCCACCTTGCTTGTGCTGGCACATCACAGGCAGAGTGTTTGGTTTCGCAGCATCAGCTCCTCACACGGCTGCGTCCAGGGCTCACTTCACCCAAAAGTGCCTTGTCAGACACAGGGGGGAAGAACTCTGCATGCTGCAGGGGCCTTTGCATGTCTCTTCTGCTTTATGGTCCAGTGAACTCCATCATCTCCCCAAAACAGAGCATCAGACAAATAGATTGTGTGCTACCTCTTGCTGATTCACTGCTATGCAAAACGTGACGGCTCAGTAGGGAAATATCAGTCTAAAATAAAGCAGAGTCAAATGTTAGGCAGGTGAATGTGCAGAACAGGAGGTCTGATGTGGTGAAACACCTGGCTGGGGACTGGGGGCTGCCAGCAAGTGTCTGCGTTGATCTACCACCTTTAGAACAGCTCTGAGGCCCTGTATTACTCCACAGGGCTTATTAATTAAAGGCTGCTAAATATGATATCTCTTTTAGTAGCAACCCCAACCTGATGGCTATAAAGAGGCACATCATTCACACTGCTTCTATTTCATCCTGAATTGTCCCCCTTTGACCTAAATTCCTGCGGTTTTCTGGGCCTTTATCTCACTGAATTAAATATTCAACTCTTTTTTTCCTTCTAAATACCTCAGTTTTTATATTAATGATTTGTGTGCCCATACATTTAAATAAGAGTTCTGCCACTTAAAAAAAGTCTTGAATCCACATAGTTTAGGGATAAGGTTGAGAGAGTCAAAAAGTCTGTAACTCCAGGAGCACTGGGGCTGGAAAAGGCATGCCAAGGTGATCCCAGCAGGGCCCCAATATTACATCTTTCTAATCTGGACCACCCATGGGGATGGGGAACCCAGTCTCCTGTCTTGTCCCCAGACCAGATGCCCTGAGGGTTAAGTTTAGGATTCAGATATCTACAGAGCCTACAGCTCCCGGGACATTGGCACTCAGAAATGCATTACACGGGCACCAGGGCAGGGTGCCACCATTGCCAGTTCCACACTCTGTAATCTGTGCAACCTATGGCAACGAGGACCTCTGGCCCAGGGTCAAGCTGCTGTTGGGGTTAGGGTTGAGAGAGTCAAAGAGTCTACAACTCCAGGAGCACTGGGGCTGGAAAAGGCATGCCATGGTGATCACAGCAGTACCTCAAAATTTCTGCTTATATTTTCTTTTTAATCTGTACCACCTAATTTATTCTGAGAGTTTCCCACAGGATTCTTCCTCATGCCAATCAGGTGTGGTGGGAGTGACCACTCATGAGAGGCAATTTGGTCACAAGGTTGGCAGAAGGGAATCTCTAAAAAAATAATGGGTTTTTTCCCCTGGACAAGTTAGAAGAGGTGATATTACAATGGCTGGGAAAAATGTCCGAGAAACCAAGGGCAGAGAAAAGTAATATGAGCCTGAGCATGCCCCTTTTAATTGACATAGGTAGGAAAGCAAGTGTGCTAAACAAAATAGAGAAACTGAAAGTTCCTCTCCCTTGAGGTGTGCAGGGGAGCAGCAGCTTGATTTGTTTTGGACAGCTCACTGCTAATGGAAATGGAGACATCTATTGATGGTAGCTCCTGGACCCAAAACCAAAGTGCTGGCATATTTAGTGGACACTGGGGCTCAGATATCAGCCTTGACTAAACAAGATGCCACCAGCTGAGGAGCTGTCCAATTCAAATGGCCCTTGCTTGTAGTGAGTGTGTTGGGAGTGTCACAACCGGTAACTACCACTGCAGTTATTCTTATGTTCCTGGGAGAAGAAGCTACCATAACTGTTACCATGGCAACAGGGGACTTCCTTTTAAGTTTACTGGGACTGGATGATTTGAAAGGGAGAACTTGGCATGACAATGTGGGGTGCCGGTGGTCCTTTGGAACCACCACCCACCAAGTTAGACTGTGGCAGATTGCCCCGGATCTTCCCCCTTCAAAACTTACAAATGCCAAACCCTAATGACTGCCCTTGGGGACCTGGGAGGGAATTGTCCCAGCCCTAGAGGACTTAAAAAATTGAGAAATTGTTATCCCCACTCACTCAGCTTCCAGTTTCCCAGTATGGCCAGTGTGAAAACCAAATGGTATGTGGAGATTAACTTTAGACTACTGCCACCTCAGTGGTGACACAGACCCCTTACCAGCAGCTGTACCAAACATCACTTAGCTCACAGCCAGCATCCAGGAACAGGCACACAGGGTCATGACCACTGTTGATATTAAAGACATGTTTTGAATGGTGCTATTGACGCGTGGGGATCAACACCAGTTTGCCTTTGTGTATGGGGGCAGTCATATACCTTTACAGGGCTTCCTCAGGGCTACAAGCATTCACCCACCTTAGTTCACCATGTGCTGGCAAAAAAATTGGGAAAGATACTGGTGGAAGAGGGAGTGAAAGTTTACCAGGACACTGATGGTATACTCACAGGATGTAATCATAAATAGAGATTGGGACTACCCAGAATAACATCATTATTCACCTCAAAGTTTTGGGATTTAGCTGCTCTCTTGTGAATCATCTCTAGAGTTAATGCTGAGATTCTAAAAACTTACCCTAGACAATGTGTCTATTTGACATCTCTAATGTTTGTAGAGTTTCTTAATAGGGATCTCATATGAGAAATCTGACTTGTTCCAATTTTTGTGTATGCAAGTTTTGGCATTGCAACTTTTCTGACTGCGTAATTTACAGAAGTAATTATTCTGCTGATGTCAATGTTTGAGTTTAAATATTTTCTGTATAAGGTGTGTGGTAGTCCCTCAAATAGTGATGTGTCTGTGATTGACTCTTCTGGCAACCCTGTTTGCTACAGGACCTGTAAAATGAGAGCAAAAGGGGAAGAAAGGCGAGTAAGGCATATCTGAGGTTTTTTGTTTCATGCATCAGTAGGAATTATTTTATATATTAGCCTAGCCTAAATTCACTACGGTTTATTTAAATAAAGTGGTATGCAAAGTAATTATGCATCTTTTAGTGAGTAGCTCTATCATAAAGATGGTTTTGAAATAGTGGGGAGAAATTAGAAGTCCTTTTTTGGAGGGAAATAAATGACAAATGTAAGTGGGATGGACTGTCATCATGCAGTCTCCTTCTTTCACATCAATGCCCTAGTCAGTCTCTAGTTCTGGGGAACACCAAATTATAAATCGACATGAAACATGTCTGAAAAATGCATCTTCTCACAGATGTTATAAATTATGGCATCAGGCTTGTGTCTGGTAGTGCCAGAGGCAATGCCTTTGGCTGCACAGTTAGCAGCTTCTGTCTTTGGTGGAAAAATGGTAAAGTTCACTTATTTTTGTGATCACTCTTTCATATTTTTCTGACAGTGTGCTGGAGTCAACCTAATGCAGCTTTCTGTACAACTTCATCTGGAAAATATGTTGCATATCCACATCCTCTTCCATGCTCATGCTGGTATTTTTAATGCACAGCTGGAGATCAGGTATTCACAGATGAGTTCCCAGCAGAGGCCAGGTCCTGGAAAAAACCTGTGGCAGCTCCTGTGGTGTGGACACTCACCAAGAGGACACTCCCTGGCTGCTCATACTAAACATAGATGGTGTCTGTAATGGAAGAGCCAGAAATGTGACAACTTTTCACCAGAGCTGTGTGACTACGGGCAGTGCTGCAGGCAGGGAATAAGTCATCCTCTAACGGAGAGCTGTGAAGTCTGGGTTGATGGACCATGCTCACACCATAAGCTTTTTTCCTTGTGTTCTGAATTCTTTCCACTTGCAGTCCTGAGTCACCTTCCCTAGGCTGGGCTCCTGCGGTCCTGTGCCATCCACCTCAGGCTGGGCCATGGCTCAGCAGGGGCTCTCCAAAGCCAGGGTTTTGTTTGAGGTAAGGTAAGTGACTGTTGACAAATCAATTGGTTTTACTGTCTACCAGAGCCTTAAATCCCTTTCAGGAGTCTCTGTCTTGGCACACTTATTTATGGGAGGGAGGTGACGCAAATATCATGTCTGGGATGTGCTTGAGGTCAGGTGTGTAAAGGGGTATCTGATTTCTAGCTGCTGACAGTGCCAGGGCTTTTCTCTGCACATCTGATAACAAAATGGTTCTATCAACTGTACCATACTGGAGCTGCTCCCAAATACACTTTCAGGCTCTGGAGAACAAAGTTTATGTTCTTTGCTATCAGAGGTTCACCTTTTTTCAGTACTGTATACCCTCCCTTACTTGCCACTAAATGCTTCCCAAAAACTCCTAAGTCTCTGAGACCTGTATGTAACCACATGTTACTTGTTTATTTTGTTGTTTCTTTTCTTTTCTTTTTTTTTTTTTTTTTTAATAATAGAACATTGCTTTAAATCAATAAAATAAATATCTACTACAATACAAAAAATATCCACAGCAGTTCCTGGAATACAAGGAAATTAAATGTGCTTCTTGTAAATAGCTCCTTCTCTTGTAGATCCAAATTATAAATAAATAAATAAGAAAAGCATAAATACATATGTCAAGATACAGCAATTATTAAGAAGAAATATTAATCATCTCCACCTCTAACCTCATACTGCTCAAAGCTATTAATTAACAAATAAATACTACTATTCCAATGCAACTTCCTCAACAAGCAAAACTCTTGCTGTCCTGGGTTTGAGTACTTTTTGGACAATATTATCTACAAGGGCAGGTACCACAAATGTTCACTCTCTTAATTACACCTAATTCAGTAAAAGGACTTTTCCCAGTGTCTGTCCATCATCCTTATTTTTCCTTTGTTTAGGAAATGAGACCAAAAAGGGGAAGCAGTGATTGGTCTTCTCCCAACTCTTTGAATGTATGTACTGCTATGTAGGGGAGCAGTCCCACTGAATTTACTAGGTTTACCTATATGTGTAAAAAGACATATATGGGTTTCTGGCAGGAGTTCTATGGGCTGAGGAGGGGTTTGAAGTGTGGTTAGTGATATTTGTAAAAAGTGTTTCAGGAAACTCTTGACCATGGCTCCAGCTTGGCCCAGTCATAGAGGACCTGACGTTGGCAAGGGTCAGGGTGCTTGGATTTTTGTGCAGGATCAGTGTGCCAGGGTCTAATTTAAAGGTGCGGTGGACCCCTCTGAGAAACCTCTTGCAGGGAATGTTCAGGTGTGCAGCCTTCAGTGGGTGTCAGCATTGCTCTCTCATGCCAGGGCAGAGAAACACATGGTTGACACTGAGTCACTACTGCCAGCATGTGGCTCACAAGGAACTGTGTTCTTTCCCACGAGCAAGAAATAAAAGTTGGAGAGCAGATCATCCCTGTCTCGGGCTGCTGGGCCAGAGAAGGACTTTCACCTTTGGTAATGAAGAGGGAGAGTCTGTGTGGTTTCGAGGTGCAAAGTTTTCCTCTGACCAGTTGAGCACCTCTGACGGAGGAACCTGTGACTGGAGCAGTGATGGAGAGCGGAACAGGAGGGCTTACAGAGGTATTTCATGAAGGTGCAGTCCCTCTCTCTCCTATGCACACTCTGGACTGACTGGGCTCTAGCAGTATGAAAAGCCACAGTTCTTTTTAAGTAAAATCTTCCATCCCCATCCTACTACCATTTCCACCATGTTCAGCCCTAAATAGGTTTTTGCTGTGTCCCTCCTTGCAGCCATTAGGACCATATGCTCTGTAAAGCTACTGGCCCGCTCCATTTGTTTTCCCATTCCGTGAACTTTGGTTGCTCAGGCTGTCAAGCTGCAAACCTCTCCTGTGTGCTACTTCACCCTGCTCAACCCAAAGCCAGAAGTCCTGGCTTCCCTCCCACCCAGGAGGTCCCTTGGTACTCCTGAGGTGGTGACCCCTGACCAGGGCCAGCTGCCCCCCACTACCATGGCATTGTCTGTGATGGCATCTCAGTGCATTTCACTGCACTGGCTGCAGGCAAGCAAGTTTCAGATGGGAGCTCCTTCCCTCTGCTGCTGTCACAGAGTCAGACCTTTATTTTTAATTTACGCTTTGGTGCATTGGCGGTTAGATTAGAGGTCATCATCACTATAAACAGGAGATACGCCTCCTCTGAGTTTAAATATAAAGTTCTGTATTTAGGGAAACCAGTGGGTTTTTTATAATAACTAGGAGAACACTCACAGAAGGCAAGTACTGCTCATGACTAATATAATATTGTCCGTAACAGTGGTGAAAACTTTTTTTGTAAAACTGTTTCATTCTTTTTTGAGAGGAAACCTGAAAAGCACCTGACTAGCAATTTCTAAATTGAAAAAAAAAAAGAGAAAGAAAAAATTTTAAAGCAAATCCCATTAAATCCATCTATTCATAAGCACAGGTCTCTTACATGCAAATATCTTATACTTAGTCACCTAGTTGTACCATTTACATACTTCCCTTCCTCCTAGTATTTTGTGCACTTAATGTAATATCCTTTACCACATGGGTAGAGGGTAAATTGCTGACTACCATTTCACTTATAAGCAGGTTATATGGCGGAAAGTATCCCTTGAGGTTATCCTGTTGCTCATAGCTTGATCTGGCAGGAAAACTTAAAACACAAGTCTTTTGTTACTTAGCACAGTTTGGTACGTATGTTTGAAAACGTGCTCAGTTCTGGCCTGTTGTTTTAGAATTTTTGCATCTTTTACTCCTGCCTTGAAACATCAAAACTGAAGGAAAAGAGATGTTTAGCATATGTCATTCACAAGATGTGTCAAGCATATTGTAAGATGAGGTTTTTATCTCATGATATGACAGGGGAAGACGACAGGCAGTGGTGCACACAAGTAGATCCCTGGGATTAATGGCACTCTGTAATCAATCTGTTGCCTTGCAGGAATACTCAAACCTCTTAATAGACTTCTCTTGTTGCCAAGTCCAAGCTCATTCAGACAGGACATAGGAAATTGTGAATGGGTCAGCAGTAGTCTCAGCATTGAGTCAAGATGTAAATATAGTGGGTTTGTTGGGATTTTAGTGTAATGCAACAAGGAAAAGCCATTGAGTTGCATTGTGTTCACCATTTTTACCTTTGTTTGCCTTTCTCCCACTGCTCTGAGACAATGGCATCAAGTAATAAAAAGAATATCATTTTCCTGGATGAGCTGTGCTGAGTCTGCTCCCTGATTGATCCTAAAGCACCTTGTCCTGCTAAAGGACCTTCTGCCCTTCCAATGGATGCTGACCCTTATCAGTCCGCCTCAAAGGCACTGTTTGTCGCCCCCAGGTACTCTGACTTCTTCTTGTGCTTCATCCACATCTTCCTCAGGAGGCTGGGTGTCCCACACAGGTTGCCTCCTGTCAGTGGTAGGGAAGCTTCTGCTCCTGGTGGCAGGGCCAGGTCATACTCTGTTGTCTTCCTCCAGCGCTGCCTGTGGCAAACAAATAAAACACAAGGTGTGTGCAAAGAGCTTGTCCCTGGCCCTTCTTCCCTGCTTATGGCATCAGCCCCTCAGAACCAGGAGCTGCCTGGCTGAACCATGTGCCCATGCCTGGCCCACTCCTGAGACCAGCAAGTCTAGAATGGGCAGGGGCTCTGTGGGCCAGGGGGCAGGGATGCTGCAGCTGCCACCACTCAGCTTGGTGCCCTTGTTCCCTCACTGTCAGAGGGGACACTGACACAAGGGGACAGGTTACAAGTGGGACCACTCTAAGAGCATCCTCTCTAGCAATTGCCACCCAACAAAGAGTGGGGGATTGCCAAAGGAGTGTTGGGCCCTTCCACCAGGGACCATGTGACAGCGATGAGCTCCACTGGCTGAGGGAAACTTCCATCTCTGTGTATGGAGCGTGAGGACACTGTGACAATGAACTAGTTACTGTCCCTCAGGTGACAATGGTGGCATCTCAAATCCCACCCAGATTCATGTCTGGGTTAACTGGCTGGTGATAAGCGCATTTGTACTATGGTCTAGCTATTCCTTAATTAGACTTTAAGACATATTTTTTTTCCTTCAATTAATTACATTTACTAATCACATTCTAGGGCAAACATTACGGACTTCTTAGGGGGAAAATACTTCTATTTTGAATTATGGTTATTTTTTTCCTAGTGATAACGTAGAACTGTAATGGGCACTGAGACAGCTGTATAAATGGCCATGGCTACTAATAAAATCAGCATAACCTTTACCAATCTCTCCCTGCCTTTGGGAAACAAGAGGCATGTGTGGAGGGTGGGAAGGGACTTACTCTTCTGTAGAAGCGCGGTTGCGTGTGGGCGAGCTCGTGACAGCCACAGCTTTCACCGTGATATGGGCAACAGGAGATGGGGGAATCTGTGGGAGGATCAAGCACAGCATTAGGAAATGCCACCGATGAGTGGGGACACCGGTTCATCTGAGGCTGTTTTAAGAAAACCAGTAAATGCTGTAAATCTCTTAACAAGAGAAAGCAGGTTAGGGATTTGACGGCCCAGCTCTCACCCACACAATTACCAGCTGCTCACGTGAATATTCTCACTGAGCTCAGCACAGGACTTGAGTGAGTGAGAGTTATACCTCCCTTCAAAGAAGGGACACTTGCAGAACTTTTTATTCCCTAGTTTTTGTGTTTAGCTTCCTGAGGCAGTGAGGTTTTGTGCAGAGTGAGCAGCCTGTCTCCTGCTGCTCCCCACCTCTGCAGCTGCCTGGGAAGCAGATGTCACAGCCATCACTCAGTTCCTTGAGCATTCAGAGATGTTTCCCTGTTTTGTTGTGTGCTGCTCTGTGCTGTGAGGGCACCCTGGTTATGCTCCTGCTCTGCCATGGCCCCACGAGTGCCTAATCATCCACTTCCTCCTTGTCTTATTTGATCATAAATCACCCACCAGAACTGAGTCACATTTTCCCATAAACAGGTATCTGAGAATAGCATATCCTCCAAGATGTTAAGTTAAAGTGTGAGTTGCCCAAAAAAAAAAAAAAAAAAAAAAAAAAAAAAAAAAAAAGTCAAAAAATTGTGAGGTGATCTCAATATTTCAGGCGATAAGCACACTTACTGATTTTACTGGCAATCCTGAAAAAAAATGTTCATATTATTGTTCCTACCATAATTGGTCTTAAGATTTCTGGGGCTATTTCTTCTAGGATTAATCTGAGACTGGGTAAATTTATGTGTGTTTTTCAAATATCCTAAGACTTAGAGATGTTTGAAATCACTTTTGCAAGCATCCTTTGAAATTTAGCTATGTTAATTATTGGTCGGTTCAATTAGATTCATTACACTGAATAACATTCGTTTTAACCATCCTTAAGTATTGTACTGTCATTTTTTTTAAGTGTACCTCAGCTATCAGCTGGTAAGCATGCTTCAGCCATCCAAAAGGGCCTCTGAGACCATAAAGTTGCAACAGCATAGTCTGGTGTTGGTCAGAAACTATTCAAAACATTTTTTTCTCTTTGAAAAAGCTAGGTTTTATTAAATGCAGAGACTTTGAAAATTAGGGGACCACTGTAAGACAGAAAAGGGAGGGAGAACATTTTATTAAAGGTGAGTAATTATTAATCAAAATATTTTTTCTGTCTATTAGAGAACACATTTTGGGGATTTGTATGATAATTTTCCCATCAACTCTTTATTTATATTTCTGACTTTGGAGATTATTGTGTCCAGAGAAAACAAATTAATTGATGCTTGTTCCACTTGAGAATTTTTTTCCCCCAATTTGTGAAATTCCCTGAGAGACAAGAGGCTAATTTCTCCCAGCTCTTCCAGGTGGCTGAACATCCAGAACAGGAGCCTGCCTGTTTCTGTCCCACCGCTCTTCCTGGTGCCTGAGGGACAGTTCTCTGCCAGTCTCTGCTCACAGCTAAGGGGTTCTCTGGCATAAATTATGTTTCAAGCTTTAACAAAGGCTGTGAAATCTGCAGGTGCTGCAGCAGACTGACATGCTGTTACTGTGGGACATGCTGATGGGTACAAGGTTTTAAGATGCATTGGTAGTTGGTCTTGCTCTATTTGCTTACCAAAGATTTTCCATCCAACAGATGATTATAGGACTTGGATGACTCTTGTTCAGTAATTCCCACTGTAAAGCATAAGAAACGTGATATTAGGGGCAATTATCCCATTGGCACAGCTTGTATGAAAAACCTCCTTCCGTGCAGTAAAGCCCAGATATGGAGAGAGCCCAGATACAGGTTACAGTCCCACCAGATTTGATTATAGCCAAAAGAGCAGAGTGATCATCTACTGTGATGTCAAAATAAGTGATTGTGGAACTGCTTAAGCCATTCTGGAAAGTCTCTCAGCTTGCTCCTGGATTTTTTAAATGAGATGACAAACTGCCCTTAGCAGACCAAGCTAAGTGGGAGCCCTTTCCCCCTCTGTAAACACTCACTCATTTCTAGAAGCAAAGAGCCTAAATGCTGCTCATCAGCCCACACTGCAGGTTTGTCCTGCCTAGGAGATCATTCTCTCCTTTCTGTATTGCTCTGGGAGTTATTTTAACTTGGGCAGAGATGTGTGCTATGTCTTCCCCTACACAGGGAGGGATTTCCACCTTTCTGCCTGTGGCTGAGTGACATCTCTCTCTCTGCTATCCTCAGCTCTGAAGGTTACCCTTCAGTTTCAACTAATTGCTCATCCGATAACTTATCCATGGATAAATGCTCACTGGCACTCCTGCTCACTGTGCCAAGGAAATAAATGAATGAGGGATGCCAGATTTTTTCATGAGGCCAAATCCTCCTATTTGGCTCTGGGAATGTGGACCTCTCTACTTCTTTGACCAGTGGAATATAAATAACAGCAGCAAATTTGGAAATAGGCAGGGTGCTGCTTATAGTGCTGTCTCCAGCATGACTTAGCAATTGGAACTGTCTCCTCCTTCTGGGGGCAATATTTGACTGTGATAAATATCCTAACCAGCTTTCTTCTTCCTGCTCCACCCCCTCCAGTAATTCCATTAGGTACCTTACTGTATCCCTCATGTCAAAGTTAATGCAATTACCTCCTCTCATCGTGCATATTAGGTACTAACAGTATTCAGCAAGTAGATCATCAGTGCTTCAGCCAATGCCCGTATTTTTTGTTTTTATTTAGTTTTGTTTTCTCTTACTTTGTCTGATTCTTCCCTGCAGCCTGTTCCTCTTATTGGATACCGAAAATGTTCTTTATCAAACTTTTAGCAAAATATCTAAGCAAAAGAAAATCCTCATGGCTTCATGGCTTCAAGGTTTTGTAGTTGCTCCCCTCAGGGCAGTGGTGGCTGGATGCATCGTGAATTCCACTTCCAGAAGTGCCTTCTCACATGCTGAAATGGACTGCCCTTCTGCTATTGTGAAGGATTTCTGATGGTAGCAATAAACATGCTAATGGCCTCATCTATGTTCTTTTGCTTGTTTGTTTGTTGGTTCTAATTTAAACTTAATTTCTAAGTTCTGGCAACTCATTTCCCTTTCTCCCTCTCTCAGACCTGTTTCCCCCTTTTCTGCTCTTGTTTTAGATTCCTACAGCTTTTCTCTTGCTTGCACCTATCTGTCATCCTTTACATCTCCTCTCCCCTAACAGCAGAGACCAGCAGTCCCTCCTTTCTGCCTCTCTGGCTGTCTGTAGCCAGTCCCAGCCACTCCTTCTCCTGTCCCTGCTCCAGTCCTGAAGTCTAGGACTGAAGTTCAGGTTTTTTTTCAGCCACATCTTGGCTCTGGTCCTGATATCTTTTTGAGATCCTTTCCTATGGTCCCAGGCTCAGTTTCCTCCTTTCCAGTTTCCCAGGCCCCACTCGTGTCTGGTTTGTTCCTTACTGGGATGGCTTATGTGCAGTGTGGTTGCAGACCAGTGATGTGAGGAACATGCACCTTCATGGACCTGCTTTAGAGATTTAGCACCTTTTAACATCCAAATGTCCAATTTATCTTGGAAAAACATGCCATGTGGGATTTCTTTAAAGAAATACGACTTGACTGCATCTGGGTGTTCTTTCAAAGGAGAGCAAAAGATGTGTTTTTGATTAAAAGGCCATCCCATGTGAAACTGCACAGCCCTGATGCAGCTTCAGTCTTCCAAACATAACACACCAGTGTTGGAGGAGCTGAATGGCCACTCTGTTTATGTTTACTCATCTCCTTGGTTTTGTATTGGCAAGCTCTATTTTTCCTTCACGGTTTCTCACAAATATGCTGAACAAGCTTTGGTTGCCAAAAAATCAGGTCTGTGGCTAACATCCAGAATCTGAAAATCCATCCCTAATGATTATATTCTAGCTGATTCTAAGCAACCGAACAGGGACCTTATATAATAAGATGCCTCAGGCAAACTCAGTAATTTACAATTTATCATCTCTAAAATATTGTCAGGGAGTGTTTACGACTCTGAATACAGCCAGTTTATGACTCTGAATAAACTGAGCAATGCCATGGTCATTATCTCATGAATTCCACTGGGTATTTTAAACACGGGATTATCCTCCAGGTACACAATAAAGCGCCTGCTTCTCTGCATAACCGGCAGACTGCGATATCTAAAAACTTTCCGTGGGCAGGGAGGAATGAAGGGCTTTAGTGCGGACTTACCGTGCTGGGCAGCGGCCTTGGCGGGGCAGGCTGCCCGCTGCCCGGCCCGCAGGCCGCCTGCGCCCCGCGCCTCCTCCTCGCCCCTGGCCTCGTACAGCACCTGCAGGAGCTCGCCCTGGTGCGGCCGGCGGTCCGATATGGCCACCACCTACAGGGAGAGGCAAACCACCCGTTACACCTGCCCCGGGGATTAGGTGGTCTGTCGAGGTCATGGGGCAGCTGGAAGGCTGCTCGTTCTTCCTACTGCTTTGCTGTCATCCAAAGGGGATTTTGTCAGGTGGGGACTGTGGGATTTGTGGGATTTTGTTTGGCTCCAGCTTCTGTGCTGTGTATAGAAGTATGGGAAAATCCTGCTGGGTCTTTCTGGGACCCGGCTACTTAGTTGCACATTTCTATATTCTCCTCAGGAGACTGAAATGTGCCCCTTTCCAAGCTCTGCAGAATAGGATATGCCTCCGAGACTCAGATTTATTTTCTTATTGCATCACACCTTGGGCAATCAGTCAAACTTATGCAATGTGAGTTACAAATGCTGTTTCCTTACAGGTCTCTCCTGTCTTTTGAACTTACATATTGTACCTGATAAATGACTACAGAGAATACGAGGCAGAGAGGAGTCGTGCTCCTAGAGATTAATTTTCACTAACATTAGCTTACACAGACAAAACTCACTGACAGCTGCAACTTTGAGTGTCACCTCTCCAGCGCCCCCCACCCCAATCTCCAACAGTCCCTGAAAACAAGCATGAACAAAATCAAGATATTTTCTAATGAGTTACGACTAAGCCATGGCTCGCACTGTACCACTGTACCGCCACGGGCAACTGGGGATGCCAGAGCTAATGTGAGTTTGGAAAAACAGGGATACACCTCAGAGCAGTGGATTTGTCAGGACTGTTATCCAGGATGGTCTGCAAAGAGTTTTCTCAAGAAGATCAAAGTTCCAGCAGCAAGGACAGAGTGTTTCATACTTTGTTGTTTTTTTTTTTAATTCTTCCCTAAAGACTTGCTGCTGTCATACAGAGAACTACTTAAACAGGGTGAAGATCCAAACCAGCAAGGAAACAAGACATGTGGCAACTATTCAGACTATTTCCTATTAGACTTATGTTGGAAGATCATGAGAAAAGCAGTTAGTTGCATCGAACTGATGACTGGCAGCTGCTGTCTAGATGTTTTAGATATAAATATAGTTAGTTTGCCTCAAGACTGAGGCCAACAACTGGCTAGTTCACTATTGACATAGAAAAAGCTTTAATTCTGTCTATTGCTCTGCCTTCTAACACACACTCAAGATAAAAACAAGACCTTTTTCAAGCATGTTCCCTCATGCCAAATTGTCCATTTCCTGTAATTAAGTTTTAATTCAATTTGCCATTAATCTGCAATGTTCTGTGTATATGATTTTTTACACAGACATAACAACATATGCAAACCCATGTTTTCCAAAACAGGAAAGAAGAAAAATCCCAACCTAACCACTTTTAATTCTTTTGTCTCCATGTACCCTCAGGACAAGCCCACATTACCTAAATCCTACTGACTAGTAGGATGAGGAGCAGAAACTGCCCAATAACCGGCAAAAGTACTTCTGGAAAAGGCAGTTAAGGCAACCAAAGCCTAATCCAAATCTGGATAGGGGTTTCCTCCTGTTTCTGCAGATTTTGACACAGAGCCTAACGTGCTCCATGTGCTGTAAACTACTTAAAGACATGCCCAGTGTTCAGTTAAAGGGACTATTGGTGTCCTTGAAGACAAGCACATGCTAAAGAAGTTTGCAGCTGGCTCCCAGCTCTACTGATCACAAATTTGGAGCTGCCAACAGAGCTGAGCTTCAGAATTGCTCTGATGTTTCAGAACAAGAGTGATGCTGGTTGTGAGAGGCCTCCTGTTGCTGCTTAATCTGTTGGCACTGGCTCCCTCCCTGCTGCCCCTGGAGCAGTTCCAGCACCTCCCTGTCCCTCTGCAGCAGCTCCTTGCAGGCTGCAGGCTCCTGTGTCCACACATGCCCTGACCACACAAACCTTACAAGCTGCTCACCAGGGCATCACCCCCTTCACCACGGTGGCACCAGTGGAGACACCTGTCCTCAGGACTAATATGATGAGACTGTGCCTGGCAGGGATCTCTAATGACAGCCCCCGGAGTCTGCCTCATGTGAACCCAGCTCTCCCAGCTTTCAAGGAATGCCACAAAAGTCAGACTTTCCCACTATCTCTGGAAAAGTGTACAGTGCTCTTGGTCACACTTAGTCTTTGCTGGTGTGTGACAAAATGTCATCAGTGCCCTGCTACTGAGACACCTGTGGTCATTTATTTTTGCATTGTCATGGAAAGAGCATTTTTGGTAAGTAGGATGCTAGCTGCAGTCACCTCTAATCCTGAAAGTGGCTTATTTGATCAGTGTAAACCACCATGGACTTGAAACTTAACATTCTGCCTACGTGTTACACAGGATGAAATACAGTTTGGGGAAAAGAAGAGGAATTTTATCTTGATTAATAGCAAGAATTATTTAGGCACATTGTCTGTGTTTTTGAGATTCCTTGTTATATATGATACCAGTAATGCCAAAATGTCTTCAAGCAGCAGAACCTGCATAAATAAGTTACAGTGCCATTTTCCATTACAGCTGGAGACAACAGTGCAATCTCTATAACATATTTTCAGCAGCATTTTTTTTTTTTTTGCAGTTTTTGGTTTTAGCACATTTTTGGAGTTCCTTATCTCCTAATTCAAGATTTCACAGTGACTTTGGCTACCTCACCCATTACTGTAATATGTAAAGACTTATCTAGGTCAGGAAACTAAACCTGCTGTAGCTTGGTTTTGATCTAAAGTGGAGCTGACATTCCTCTAGGGTACCTAGGGTAAGGCAGAAGGATCAACTGGGAGTCACTTTTCTTTTCTAGACACACCAGGAAATTTAAATATGTGCAAATGGCAGAGTCAGCCAAACTATGCAGAATTAACAAACTGCTCTCTAAAAACCTACTGTTTTTAGCACCCGACTGGCCTGGTCCATTTGCAGGACACTGACTCTGGAATCAGAGCCCAGCAAACTCTCTTTTTATTGGATTTTGCCATGCACATGAGAGCACGGAGGTCTGGCATACCCACTGTTGGAATTAGCTGTGTTCAGAGGGAAGGGGCACAGAGGACACATGACAGTCACAGGGAGGCTCTTCCAACCATCCTGATCCTGGACTTAAAAACCCACTGCCAACCAACAACCATCCAGAAAAGGTGACAATTAAATATCTGGCTTTGGATAAAACTTTGAAAGGTAGAGTCTGAACAACAATGTGCTTGTTAGTGGAGAAAATTCCATATTTGTAGAGTTAAATTATTTTGATGGCCTAATCCTGAGCTGATTTTTAATGGGACAGCTCTAGTATGCACAGGGGTATTTTCTACTTTCTTGCAAAGTAGACAGGTACTGGTGTCCAGACATTTCTACCCAAGGGATTTTGGGGTTAGAAGAAGAAGAGAAGGGAAGGATCTACTACCACTGGAAATAACTCTTAATAGGGCAATGGGAACTGAAAATACACGTATTGGTGAAGCATTTAGCTAAAAAAAAAAAAAATGGTGCTTCCTCCTTTCTGTCACCCTTCCACAGTCATTATCATGCTTTTGGGATGAGTTCTTGTATGTGATGGAAGTTACCCCCCACAGTCAGTAATTTGAATGTTAAATTACTTAATGCTACACTGCTTGAGTATTTCTGCTGTGAAAAAAAGGTCTGGCAGATGTCCATGTTGGTTGCTATTTTTGTCCTTGCTGAGGATTAAACTTGTGCATCCACTGCAATTACCAGAGCAGAAGTTTTTATGTTAGCTGAGGCATTTCTACAGCTCTGGCTGCAGGTGCAGGTGTAAAAGTGAAAAATAAACAATCATTCTGCAACTTTTCTGTGGGTCTAGAAATTGGCAATCACATCTTCCTCACAGGCATGTCTATTCCAGTATGTGCAATTTACTTCAATGCTTGCTTACGAGCTGTAAGCAGCTGCATCCCACTGAAGAAGGGGAATGTCTAAGAGCTGACTCTGCTCAGTCAAACACTTTGGTTTGAGAGCCATCCTTGTTTTCATAGCTGGAGCTGCAGACCATTCCTCAGGCTTGGTGTTCCCACTGCTAATATGATGCTGCCTGCGTCATGACTAAGACCCAATCAAAGGAGATCCTTAACTGGGGTCAGGAAAGCCCCAGAGGAAAAAAACCCACATTCCTCTTAAAATACAGCAACAAAAACAGGTACTTTCTTATCTTATTTTCTTAGGCTTTTATGAGTACAGTGCTACCACAGCAGCTGATCCAATCAAAATTAAATATTAGATGCTTCCATTTAGTACAAACAACTATCTACTGAGATTTGGAACTAGATAACAGATATAGAATTTCTTTTGATTTTGGTGCAAACCAGCTGAATTTATATCAGCATTTTGTTTCATCAAGTCAGAATAGTTCACTTTTGGTTTGGACTTTTCTGCTGTTTTTATATTGCATGGAAAACAAAATAAACCAAAGGTTTAACAAATAAAAGTGGGTATCTCAACATGGCTTATTTTGAATAGCACTCCAGCAGTCTGACTCATCTTACTTTGGAATGAAGAGTAATTTTGAAATCTCAGCCTGAGCTATGGGACAAAACCAACCAAACCAATACTGTCATATTTTGGGAAAATATACACATGCATAGTTTCTACCCAAAAAATGACAGACGTGTTTCTGACTCTTCCTGGGGAAAACTTCATGTGTCCTGTGATGTATTGAGATCCTGTGATCTGCTTTGATAACCAAAAGAGAGGGAGGGAGTGAATGTGATAAGGTTTTTTTCCAGTGCACAGGTAAGTGTGGTAAGCAGGAGGACCTATAGTTCTGTGAGGAGATCAGGGAATCGGGAATACAAAGAAAAAGATCTCTGAAAATGAGGGTGGATCTGGGAAGTAGGAAAGGGCATGGAAAAAGGGAAAGCCATGGAGCAAAATACTTCAGCAAAGTGCTAGATAAGAGACAGGTCTGTGGTGAGAAGAAATGCTTTGTCAGAAGAGTGTCAAACTTGTAAGAACTGCTTTGATTTGCAGAAGAGACTGTCGTTCCTGCAAATCAGCTAAATCAGTGGAAGGTGTTGTGAATGGGTCAAGTGGATTTCAGGACTGAAAACTCTCTCTGAAGACAAGAAATCTCACACCCATGTGTGAAAGCAGCTGAACTTGCAAGATATTTACTCAGAGCATGAAAAAGGTCCAGTTATTTTAATCTGGGGGGCTCCTCTGTGCCCTCTGCACCGAGACTGAGGCAGGGGCAGACAAGCACTGCTGGGACCAGGGAACAAAGAACTTCCCTTGGTCTCTCAGCGTCAACTTATGGGGTCAAAGTTACAGTCCATTGCTTGGTGTTTTTATCACAAATTCCCTAGGATACTGGCTACTTTATAATAATAATAATAATAATAATAATAATAATAATAATAATAATAATAATAATTTATTATTATTATTATTATTACTTGATTAACACTGATATGATTTGGTGTGATTTACTTACTTTTCATTCCTGCATGTCTCTCTGGACTTATTGTGAAGGCTTTATGACAACAATTAAGTCTTTGATTCCCTCAGATGGCCAGTGTTGATAAGCCACTATGTTCATTTTGACTGGCTCTGCATGGCAAGACCATTTTTTTTTGTTTGTTTCAAAGCACTTCTGTAAATAAACTGCAGCTTTACAGAAACTCCCCATTCTGTTTCCCACCCCACTCCCTGCATCAGACATGGATGCATTTCTTTACCCTGGAAGATCTGCTTCCCATTTACCCACAGCACTTTTGAGGGTATGTGAGGCCAACTAGAATGTGGGAAAAAATAAAATAGGGAGAGGAAAGGAGATTTTTCTTACACTCTTTGCTAGGATGTGCTGCGTAGCTTTGGCTCGTCTTCGGGCAGGACTACACGCTGCAAAGAGAAGAACAGGAACGTGGTCAGGATGCTGTGGGGGTGAGCACATGCCTCCAAAAATCCTCTGTAAGAATTCACTGGGGGCAGGGTGGGAAGAGGGGGGAGAAGAAAGGGTGTAAGGAAGATTCCAGCTGAAACAATCCAAAAGAAAGTCCCTTTTGCTGTGATCTCAGAGACCATGCTCTAGCTGTACAATACAGAAATCTGTGGCCACAGGGCCACAGCCATCCCGAGTTTCTGCACCTCTCCCATAGGCTTCCAGGAGCAGCACTCCTCCTCCTTAGTTTTGATCTGGCCTCCCACCTGCTAGTACTTCAGTAGGAAATGAGTAGTGTATACATTAACTTTGAGACTATCATGATTTTATCCAGTTAGAGACTTTATCAATAAGCAAAACACCCTCAAGACATTGTTTCACTTTCACTGCATAATGTCCAAAGCACAACATTTGCACCAAACCTAATCTTTTCTTTTTCAATCCTCAAGATGACCTGTACAGCTCTTTAGCTTGGGACATTTTGCTTAAAGTCTGTTTCTCACTTTTTATTTCTCAGACCCACGAAGACACCAAAAGCATAGCACTCCCAGCCAGTAGACACACAGGATATCAGGGCCATAAGCCAAGCTTTAGCCTGGACTGAAGCAATTGGTTTTGGTTTTACTGGACTAAGTGAAGGTTCTTTACACTCTTGTTGTTTGAGCTAAACTTGAAACTGGCCTGAAAGACTGTGATCTCCCAGCTCTCCCTCTCAGCATATCTTACCCTGCCTTGTGTTCAGGCTACCAGAGCTACAAGATTTAGCCACCAGTGACAGAAACAGGCTTGCAGAAATCTGCCAAATGTGGAGAATTAACTCCAGTTCTAAAGGCTGACCCTGGGGGCAAGGCACGTGAATGGGGGTTTCCTATTCAGGCTCCGTGTATAATCCAAAGGCTTTCAAGAGCCAGGAAGGTTTGTAACAGGATGATGGGTGACTCCAACTCCTCAGGTGAGCTTTCCTTTATATTGTTGGCATACATTTCACTTGTGGTGCTTATCACTGCTGTGTGTTACTCTTTTCAGAGTTTTGGAGCTGTGGAAGCAGCTGGAGGTCATCCAAGGCTGCTCCTTACTGCAGCCAAGCTCCTCTCCTCAGATGGCAGCAATAACAAGTGGCTGCGCTTCCCAGGGCTCCGGTACAACCAGAGCTGGCAGGGAGACCAAAGTCACCCTTCCTTGACAGCTTGGGTGTGTCTAACAGCCATCCCTCCACACCCCAGAGAGGATATAGAGTCCTGAGCATCAAGAGCCCACTGGAGAGGAAATTCTGGCCTGTGCTGTAGCTGTAGTGAAACAGGACAGGAAAATAGGATGGTCCCTGTGAGCAGCCCGCTGCAGTGCAGGGCACTTCCACACTGAGCTTGTCACAAGGAAGTTATCTGCCTGCCTAGAGTGTGCTAAGCTGTCAGTGTGATTACAGCCTGTTCTGCAGGGTCTGATATCCTCAGGGATCCTCACTGTCTTCTCCTGCAGGACTTGTTTTATATTTTAAACCATGTTGAGTGTGGGATGAAAGCCAGACAAACATAATTAAGTTTTTGTTTTTGTTTTTGTTTTTGTTTGTTTATTTTTTGGGTTTTTTTTAACCTAGGAATATGCTGTAAGTTGTTTTTGAAGCTGCTTCCATCATCTTTGCTTCTGGAATTTCACTGTGTGAGGACTAAACTAATTGCTCATAAGCAAAACACTCAAGTGCAGAGAAGTTTAGTGATACAAGGAATTACCTTCTTGTCTCTCTGGTATTTTAGGTATTTTACCACACAGTGTAAGGAGTATAGTTTTTTAGAGATTTCTACCAGAAGCAGGTGCTCTGGTATAGCTGCTACCCAGGCTAGTGCAAAACAAAAAACACATAAATGTGCCTAACAGTAATAAATTTGCCTACTTTCAGAGTACATGTGATCCACAGTCCCTCATCCTCTGTTGTCTGCCAGAATGAGTGGCAAAAGGTTTACAGGGCTGAAGAAAGGCAAGGCATGAAAAGGAAGTCACAGCACCAGCAAACATGCAATTACTTGAATAGGCATTGAAAGAAGGATGAATCACAGAAGTAGCCAGAAGTGACCCACTTGCATGGGAATACAATGGCAGCAATGCAAACAGTGGGGCTGTGAGGCTGTCCCTGCAAACACGAATTTCTGCAGAGAGATGGAGAAAGAAGAGAAGAACGAATCCTTGCAGATGATGTATGTGGATTTGCCTGCAAAAGGATGTTTGTACGTATAGCCCAGATTTCAGGCAACAAATATAATTACAGTGTTGGTTCACTTTGTCATTTCCACTTATATTCCAAAATTAAGCAGCTGAGAGCTCATGCTCGCAGCTTGCAAGTAAAGATCTGATCTGGCCCCACAATTTGTTTTCCCTGCTTTTCCCTGCTTTCTTGTTGCTGAAATATGCAGCCATTTAGTTTAAACTAATTTGTTCAATCAAATGCAGGCTGGGCTTTGTCCGGTTCTTACTCTTCATTAGAAGCAATTAATGTTAATCATGCATTCATTTCCAGGGCATGGCTTTGGAAATGTTCCACTTATTGAGCCAGCAGACTTAAATTCAACATTCATGCACTTCACCCACTTCTAACTGCTCGCACAACTTCATTCTCTTTTCTATTACACAGAAAAGCCACACAGTTGCAAGCTGTCACTTTAGCAGTTACCTCATAGGTATAGCAACACCGATTCCAGATCTCCCAATTTTGCCAGAGTAAAGATTTTACAGAGCCTCAGTATTGAAGCACCTGCACGAATTAGGTTGAGAAAGCAGCAGCGAGGGCTGGGCTGCAGGCAGAGCACGGCATAGCAGAAGCGATGAGCTGCTCTCTTCAAATATTTCCCCGCTGCTAAACACCCCATCCCTCTAAAAGACAGCACTGTAGCCCTTGTTAGATTTTGATGTACTCACATTTGGAAGAAATCACAGTGAAAACTTCTAAATTTTCATCGCTGCAGCTGTAAATCTGGTGCATTTTCCACCTCTCCTTACTGACTGCCTTTCAGCTTCATGCAACCGCTCTGAACTTCTGGTAAATAGGTTTCCCTAATCCAATCTGGCTCTGTGATCATTGTCCAGATCTACAAAGGACAGACTGATGCTGTGATCTCATCTCATTCCATATTCTTCATTGCAACATTTTCTGCTCCCATCTGCCTTTCTATGAATAATATTAACACAAAGATTTAATTTAGCTCTTGCTTAAGCCTCTACTCAGATAGCAGCATTTTATTTTACATTTGCTTTTACCGGTGTGGAGAATCCTCTGCAATAAATAGCTCATAATTAAAGTCTAATCTATTGGCAAATGTTTACAGAAGTACTGCAAAGATGCTTGAAATAAGTTGGGTTAAATGTGTACTCTAACACATTTACCATAAAATTTTGCTCCTTACACATAATGAGGAGATGATTCTAGGTATGAAAAAAGCATTTTGTGCTTTACCTTTTCATTTCATAAACAAATACTGGAATCCTGGGTTTTTCAAAGCAACATTTCAAAAGCAGATGTCAAAGAAAAGCAGATGTGCATAGATGTCCATGCCCCCTGCATGTCTGTCGGTGCAAGGGGAGTAAAGGTGGCTCGGTCATGGATGGGTTCCTGACTTGATGGGTCTGGGGTCTAATCCCATATTTATGGACTTCAATAAAGGGTCTTCTTGCTAGAGCTTTTCATTTCTTAATACTCCCATCAGAAATTGTTCCTTTCCACCTCTATGAATACCAGCCCCCTCAACTTCTGGCGGCTTAATGCTGCCATGGACACACAAGACAAAATCTTGGCTTGCAGGCTGCAACAACTGATGTAGTTGGAGTATTTTCAAGTGTGAATAATGATATTAAATTATATCAGTCTAATGAATAGCCTTCATTACTACCACGTGTGTGTCTAATTAACACAAAAACAAGCGCTGTCTTCTCCTAGAGATGTCTGCCACCAACAGTCCCAGATGGAAAGTGCCAGTGAACATGGGCCGTCACTGTCATATTGATGAACGTTTCTTATTTGAAATAATAAATATTGGTCAAATAGACATCCTAAGCCTGGAAGCATTTTGGTTGAGTGGAAGGTGTCGCTGTCTCAAGAAAGCAGTGCACGAAGAGAAGCTGTTGTCACTTGTCACCTCCCAGGGCAGGCTCCTGCTGTCCAGGGGCAGCAAAGCCTTTGCGGGGCTGGGGGCATTGTCCCAGGAAACCGTGCCGTGCTTGAAGCAGGCAGTGGGACGGCAATATAATCAACCAAAAGTTCAATTAGTTTTTGATTTATTGCGCCACATGTTCTGCTTGTATGACTGATGTCATTAACATCAGGCTCGGCTGGCGCATTCATCTGTCCCTGCCCGGCTGCCTCTGAAGGCGCACGCACTCAACAGATGGGGAGCTGCACGGGTGCGAAGGCAATTGTTTACCCCCCTATTGTCCCTGTGTCAAGCAATCAACCCAAATCCATTACCCACCAAGAAAAAGATCAGCGCACCGTCCATTCAGCACTGAATGGGGCAGAGGCGGTTATGCAGGAGGCTCTAAAAGCTTTCAAAAGGATAAAAAAAAATAATGAAGACCAACACTGAATAGTCCATTAAAAAAAAAAAAAGCTATAACAAATCTAACCCACCCTTTATTTCACCTTCAGATATTCAGAGTCCTATGAGAAGACAGGCACTTTTGGATCTAAGTCATTGTTTTCCTAATTCTAGGTATGACCTACAGATATTTTGAAATCACAGATGAGGTTTAACTTTAGAACGAGAATTGGGTTCTTCATCCTTTGAGGGTTGGTGGGATGCAGACTGAATTGGGACTCCAGAGCTGGTCACTAGCTGGCATTCACTTCATTACAGGTCAGGAAGGCTTTGGACACATCCTTACAAGGCACAGGATGTTCTGGGGAAAAATCACTGTATAGAGAGCTGATAAAAGGCACTCACATCACTTTCAGACAGAAAAATAGGGCTCAGGAGGTCAGATATAATATGCCTCATCTGGGATCCTCATCTGGGAATGAATTGTCCCCTGTCCATGAACAGGAGTTTCCTTCATTTTGTCCAGCTCTTGCTGGGTAGTTGAGTATTATGAATGCTCAGGGTTTTGCATGAAATCTTAATGTGACTTCAAGAGAAGACCTGCACATATTGGGCTACTTTTTTCTACCTCTGTGGGAGATATTCTGGGCAAATGTCCAATGTTTGGTTTAGCTATGAAATAGGTGTAATTATATCTGCAGGAAGTGTAGTGCAAAAGCTCTACCGCATGATACCCGATAAAGAAGTGTAAGCAGTAATTTTCTGCTTGGAGGAGAAACTCTCCACAATGTCCAGCGTAGGAACTGCAGAGTTATATCAGACAATCTCAGAAGGTATCTCCTTCCAGCTCCCTACTCACCTAGCAAGTGTCCAGTCTGTGGTGGGAGGAGAAAACCAAACAGGTTTTGAGTCTATGATTATTTTTTTTGTTCCCCAAACTACATGAAATCTCTGAAAACCAGGCTCAGATTTTTTCTTCTCTACTAAAGTGAAGAATAAACTATTACAGCAGTTTACCAAATACCCACACTCAGTGTTGATAGTAAAGGATCAAAACATTTCCTGGTGCCAAAACAAAGTTACCAAAGGTAAGCAGGGACAAGTGAGAAGGAGGAGGAGGTGGAGGAGGAGGAGAACTCCAGACACAAGAGCAGACACATGCTGTCTGACAAAACACACATCTAACCTTATCTGCAGGTCTGGGACAGGGAAATTATTTGATTCTTGGGAATGGGGGTAGAAAGGAGGGAAAGGCAGAGAAGAAAAAAATGCTTGCTGAGGCTGAAAGGGAAAAAACCCCTTCAAAACAGAAGAAGTCTCAGCAAACCTTGTAAAAGTGGCAGAATCCAATAAACTGATGAGATGTCCCTCTGGGGAGTTGGCAAGGGTGCTTTTTCCAAAGCCTGAATCTGTTAGGACATATTTTGAGGAGACAAATGTAGATGCTTGTCCTGTTTATCAAGTATGACAGAGCTGGCAAACTTGAAAGGAATCAAATTTTAAAAATATGGTTACAAAAACTGTAATTAAAACATTGAGTTATTTAAGATAAGAATCAGAAACCCCTAGACCTTATTTATCCTGGCCTCTGTGAACAAAGGAATCCCTTTTCAGTGCAGTATTCTTCCAGTGGAGTTGCTGGGAAGCAACCTGATACTCTCTACATGTGTAAGGGGTATTGCCAAGGGATTCCCTGGCCCACAGAGGACAAAGCTCTTCCCAAGGCAGGTCTCTGGCTTCTCCCTGGATCTTGTACCTTGTTGCGTAAGAGGTAAATCTAATCTGTACTGAGCCATTTGAGCCTATTTCATACTGTTAGCTGGGCAATACGATAAGGATAAACCCCAGGTATTTTTGGAATAGGATTGAGAACCAGAGGGATGCACAGATAGCCATTTAAAAATAAGATGGGATAAAACTGCACATGCATACTGCAGGCATCTACTCTAAACCAATTCTGCATGATGCAATGCCAGCAGCTTTTTTTTGTGGAAGGAAAATATCTTTGTTTCAGTTTAGGGCCACAGAATTACAATTGCAAATAAAGGAAAGGAAAAAGGAAAACCAACCAAAAAAAAAGCAAACAATACAGTGAGTTTCTCATACATAATCTGTTGTTTTTCTCTGAATGAAAGGAATAGAGAGACAGATACACTATCAGAAACTTCACACTCATAGCAGACAGCAAAATTAGTTCAAAACTGAAGTAGCACTGCACAGTTTAAAGGTCTGTGAATAAGTGAATTTTCAAACATAACATGTGAATTTGCATCTGTCTAGAAGCTGCTGTAACAGATTTTTCCTGAATGGGAACAAGATTGAGGCATTCAAAAAACATTTTGAACTTTAAATTCTCTACAGGGAACCAGGAGAGAGAGATGCAAGAGCTCTGCAATTTGAAAAGATGAGCGCACAGTCTTCTCTGCTAATTGGGAAACGAAATACCAACCAGACCTGGAAGCCAGGCTGAAAGCATTCCCCACTAGTTACAGAATGATATTGCAGAATTCTTAAAAAAAGGAAGAAAAAGACAAAAGGAAAAAACAAAAACCCTGATTGGCTTCTCTTATAAAAGTTACATATAGAAAATTGGGCATTCACAAATGTGCCCAAGCTTGTAAAACACACTTGAATAGGTCCATATGATGATTAAGTAGAAACACAATGCTTAGCACCACAAGGTTCCAGTCCCACAGAGCTTGTGCCAACAGCAGGGATTGCACTAAGCCAGTATTAAAGCTAGGGCCAGGTTGAGCACGTGGAGGCTTAACAAGCTTTCATATACTGGTCATGTACTGGTAATCCACAGAAAGCATTAAAAATGTCAACAAAGGAGCGATATGTCCAAACCAGGCTGTGACAATAATAGTTCATTAAGATGCTAATCTTGAACTACATTTGTCCTGGATTTATTAATTTTTCAAGTGAAGTGATCAGTGAGGTCTTTATTCCCCTGATAAGCCACAATGATTTTTAGATAGCGTCTTCTCACTCCCAGTTTTTTTCTTTAGAACATTTTAAGGTTATCTCAACTACTGGCTCCTGCTTAACACATAACCATTTTTGGGCAAAGAAGCACATTAACCAAAGCTTGTCCTGTGGTTCCTGGATTTAGGCAGTGGCAGCTCTCTTGCTGCAACAGCATCCTGAGTCTTGCACCATATGCAGTAAAATCTACTCTTGGGTAACCAGGCACAAAATACTTAGGATTTTTCCAATGAATGAGTCTAAAGAGTAAGGCAACCTGAACTGTCACCTTACATATCTTGTGTGTCCTCACACAGCCATCAAGCTCCTTTTGCCACATGTAATACATGTGCTCCAATGGGGATGAAAGGTCTTTGGAGGGTATCAGATGGCATTGCCTCCTCTGGCTTAAGCACTGTGTGAAAATGAGATTAAATTTAAAACAAGGACCATCATTATTTGGACTAGAGACCATGGGACTAGCAACTTAGAAAATACAAAGTAGAAGCTGCACTAAAGGCATAAAAGCAGGTGAAATTTGTGAGTCCCCTTTTGATCCAGACTCAAATAATGTGGCCTGTGTGAAGAAGCAAAATAGCACAGGAGCTGGCACTGTGACAGAGGAGGCTTCAGAATTGCTGTGCCTTTGAAACTGGATTATTCTGAGGTATTTTTTGTGCAATCAGTACATCAAATGACCACAGAGCATACAGGTAAGAGCCTGGAGGGGGGGAACTCTGATGCCAATTATCCTGAAACAGTTTTTGATGAGATGAAGCGATTTATCTGATCTTCACTAGTTTGGTCTTTGCCCTCTCCACTGACGCTGCCAGTAGGGGTGTCAAAGATCTTCTGCTGTAAGCACTTGACTTGTTTGTAAGAATCTGATTAAAGTAGATCACCTCAGATAACAAGAGGAATTAATGCTGCAAATACATAGGAGAGGATTTTCAAGCTTATAAGCTACATAGAGGTCAGTACTTTTAAAGTCATGCCACAGCCTCTGAGATCCCTGATTTTTGCAGAACTCATGATCTTTACATGTCCTTCTCCTTTATCCTGTTAGCCTTTACATTTAGGCATTTGCCTTTATTACTTCAGTTTTACCTGTAATCTGTTCACTTGCTCTGTCCACTATTAGGAAAGTACTGTACAGAGCTAACCCTGTGAGAAAAAAATCTGAAAGGGAACAGGTAAGAGTTTTTGTGGCCCTTGCTATGGATATGGAACCTAATAGCGACATCAGGCTAGATTCCTCATCCTTCAGGTTTTTACAACATTTAAAAAAATGCATATTCTCATTTTAGATGTCCCCCTGAAGTCTCATCCTCTCAGCTCCTGGACCCTAGCACTCCAGCTTTTTCTCTCTGTAATGTGTAACCACGTTATATACTCAGGCTCAACATCTCAGCTGTGAAGAACTGTACTCATGTGTCTGCCACTTTTTCTCAAAGCCTGCCTTGCTGTGTCCCTGCTGAAGAACACACTTAGACCTTTAGTGCCTGTCAGCCAAGCCCCTGCTGCCTTTGTTGGGCACCTTGGTGTTTTAACTCAGCTCTGCTGGGTAGGACTCCGAATTGGGCTTTAGGGTTGGTGACTTTATAATTTCTGACATGAGAAGTCATAAAGAGTTACTTTATGATCAGAACCTGCCTGCCAGCTCTCTGCTCAGTTTTACTAACTGAGGAGTCCTAACCTTAGGTTTTCCATTTAAAATACAAGTACAGTATTTGTAGTACACCAGCTTGACCACGCACCAAGAACTAAACCTGGGAGATGACTACAGGAAAGCTGTGGGATGTGATATTTGAGGATGTCCTAAATGTAAGTGGTGACACTGTGAGTGTGCCTGAATGAGACCTGTGTGCTCCAGAGGCTGCATCCCTCCAGAAGGGAACACGGAGGTGCCACCACCCAGAGAAGGGCACCAGCATGGCTTCAACCTCTCCTGGAGAGAGAGTGATCCACTGAAACAGAGTCTCTGAGATTTCAGTAGTGCAAAGCAAATGAAATTCAGGCTGTTCATGTTAATTCCCATTTTTTCCTGCTTGGATAAGCACATGGTGACAGCTTTCACGAGGCAGGAACTTGTCCCTTGGAAAATGGATTATGACCACCAACTCTTGCACATAAACTACTGAGAAATCATCCAGTGATCACTAGTGAGACACCATAGGTCTGTGCTGGTGACCTAGGGGTGAAATGATTTTCTTTGTCTGTCTGAATCCCTGAAGCATTCAGACCCTGATCAGGGGGGATGTTCTGATCTAAACCACCATTAATCTTCCTTAAGGTGAAAAGGTCAGAAGAGCAAGTTATTCAATGTTAACTGTTTGTTTTTGTTTTATGGTAGCAAAAAAGGCTTTTTTTTATTCCCAATGCTGTCTTAAAACATACAGCAACACTTAAACTTCCAAAGTTTCACAGTAATTTTCTGAAAGTGATGTCAGCTTTTAGATAAATGACAAAGACCATAAACAGTGTCAGCCCCCCACAGCTGTGTCCATAGCCATAACAACATCACCCAATGTTGTCCTTAGATCCCATAAAGGCAAGAAACAATGACAGAGAATGAAGCAATAACGTATTGGAGCTGCTGACAATCAGTCTTTAACATGTGTTATCCATTTGACTGCAGGTGTAAATCAGCATTTCAATGTCAACTTGCTAATTTAAGGCTGTATGTCAAACACACAGAAAAAGCACAAGTGCACTGTTAAAGTAGGTCAAAGTCACTGCAAGTCAGGGAACACAGAGGAAAAGATTCCCCATCAATAAACTATTCTGGGCTATGAGATATATATTTAATGATAAAGTAATATTAGATTAAATTAAACATTTAATGGGAGCTCAGACTACAGTGTCAGCAATATTCCAACATTCCTTTGCTGCTCAGTTGACTTTGGTGGCGCATGTGCTGCCAGTGTTTGTGGCTCAGGAATCAAGTTCTGTAACTCTACAAGGTGACACAAATTAACAAGTGAATTATCTCCAGAGGCTACAAATCTCATTTCCTCTGCCTTCACTTAACTATGCAACCACATGGATGTAAATTAATTTTCCCTTTTAGTTCCCATGTTCAGAGAAATAAGGAAAATATCTGCTGCCATTTGTTGTACTTAAGAGTTCTCTGAAAATGGGATACATGTAGTTCAATAGAAACCAAAGTCTGAAAGTATTTTTTTCATCCTCCTCCCTATTACTAGGAAAGCAGTTAACTTAAGAAACTGATTAACATTCTATTGAGCTGTGTCAAATGGTTCTTCCTCTTTTTTTTCTGGCTGGACAACATTTTCTACCCACTCGCTTGTGGCAGCTATCTCAGTACTATGGGGGAAAAAAGAAAATGAATGGCATTTTAGTGGGTTAATGGAAGACTAGAAATGGCAAAATATAAAACTGCGTTCAGAAATATTGCATCTAAGCCTCCCTAATGATAACCAAGTTATGGGGCTTGTTTTGGTCTCATTTTATTTGAAAAATTCAGAGCAAACAGCAGAAGCTTCTCCTTATTCTCATGAACCACTACACTTAAAAATTATGCACTAAGAATTTTTTGACCCACTGACCCTGTGTGATTTCTCATATGTACACTGCAGGTAAACAGAAAGACTGAAAAATAGGCATGTGCAAAGAGAGCTGAGACTTCTGCAAATTTGCAGTCTCATGACACCACTGTTCAGAGGAATCTCCTCTTCTACAGGTGGCCAGGTGGTATGTCAAAGATTAAATCAGCTCTTGAGGCAGGATTAGCAGAGCTGGCTTGGTGTGGAAGACCCTCTCCTCACTGCTCAGGGCTGACACTGCAGCAGGCAATGCTGTGTGAACTATGGCTGCTGGAGACATCAGGAAACTGGTGCCATCACTAGCTGGTGCTTGGATTTAAATCAAGTTCATTTTTATTTAGGAAGCACGCAGGGATGGCCTGAGATAAAATGGAGACCCTTCCTTTAGGCCCTCTGCAAGGACACGTTTAATACAGTGATAGATTCATCTGGTTGGAACTGTTGAATCCCAGGCACACTGCACATGTCCTGGGGCACAGTGATGCCTAAGCAGATTTACTCGAGGGTTATGGAAAGGGCCTAGACAGAGCTTGGCTGTGTCTCTTAACCATTGCTCCTTCTCATCCATTTTTTTCAGGTCTCAGGGAGATGGAAAGCCAACCACAAGACAGAAGATGACAGCCATGGCATAACACAGTGCAACAGGAATGATCATACAGCCTAACCTATGTGTAGTTTCTTCCAAGTTTATTCAAATAGGAAATGGTGGGAGTTTTTGAAGATTTAGGCACGTTAAGTACATATTTTTTTCTTTATTCTCTTTTAACTGCTGAGAAAATCAGCACTGGTATGGAAAGAGGCAAATGAGGGGATGGACAAACTACTGTACCAGCTGCTCTCATAACTATAAATCCCAAGCAGCAATCCTGCAGGCTCTACCTTGTGAAGTGAGGGAGTTTTTCATTTGGTATTTCAGATAAAACTATACCTGCTGGTAAACTATTTTCACCAGCTCTACATATGCACCTGTTCATACTTGCTCCCCAAAGCTAACCTAATCAATGTAAATGGACTGAGTGATCTCATGGGTCAGGTTTTGTGTTGTGTTTACCTGCACAGAGCTCAGAAAACACAGAGTTAAATGCTGCTTTCAAACAAGCTTTACTTTTGTTATCTGCATTTCAGCATAGTCTAGACTAATAGATTCCTCACAGAGGGTTTGAGTAACACAGCAGTAACAGGAGTCACAAGAACAAGCCTCCCAGATCTCACACACATGTCCAACCACTACTGGGAACTCACAATTACAGTGTTACCCCAGCTCCCCACAGAAATACCAGTATAGAGTAATTTAGTGAGATAATATATGAAAAAACTCATGTAGCTCTTCAGTTGTGAATAAAACTACCACTGCCCAAGAGCCAGGATGTGACACCCTGTCACATCACCACTATTTGAAAGACAGCATTCTGGAGCAGCTTGAGCTCTCTTGATTTTTCCTCAGAAAATCCCTACTAGTAACTAATAATTGTTATTATTAGTTTATTATTATTTTTGTTTATTTGTTTACTATTATTATTATTATTATTATTCAGAGAGGTTTTCACATGTAGCTGATGTCCATGGGAGAGATTTCACAACCAGTTTAAGGCAGTTGAAGACTTTGACACAGTCAAAGAGGTGTGGAAAGCAGAAATGTCCATTCTTGCAGCACCATCTGCTTATGTTAGTTATTACATAAACCCCTTTGTCTCATCTGTAAAATATGGGTATTGAAGGGAGTATGGTGTTTATTTTATAAATCATCAGGACCTGCAGGTTACCTGGTACAGGAAGTTAAGTGTGAGGTTCTGTCAGTTGAAAATGCAACCTGCCAATAATTGCCATATTGGCATAAAAGGCAGATAAATGGTATGCTAGAAGAAGTTATCCTACCTCCCTAAGCAGCCCATCAAAGTGCTCTGCTGCAGTGATGAAATCACATGCTGCTCAGTTCCCCAGAGAGCATATTCCCCCCCAAATACAGCAGGACTGCCATGAATTAGGCTCATGGACAAAAAGATTGTCTCTTCACAAATCTGTATTGCTACCAACTACTGGAGAAAGACAGGAGTGGAAAGACAAAACAGGCTAAAAGTTTATATAGAACCACAGAATGGTTTGGGCTGGAAGAGATCTTAAAGATCTAGTTCTAACCTCCCTGCCATGGGCAGGAACATCTTTCACTAGACTGGGTTTCGAGCCTCATCCAGCTTGACTTTGAACAACAGGGTTGGACAAAAAGTTTGTTTTTTTTTTCCAAACATGTCAGCTTTGCACAATAGAATGAAATGAATCCCTTGCTATTACCACATCAGCCTACATGACAGAGGTACTTGTGGGCAATTTCAGCAGAGAGGAAGGTTCAGAAGGACATGGAAATCACGTGTATCACATAGTGGCAGTGCAGTCCTATGGCTGCCAAACCCATTCTGATGCTAAAAACAAGCAGTCTTCAAACAGTATCCATCCACCCGTTTTAACAGCCCTGAAATGGATCCAGTGTCAATATCCAGTACACATCTGTCCTCAGATGCTAGGACAGCACTAGTTTGATCAGACAAATACACAAATGCAAAGATGCAAGCATAGAGCCTTCTACTTCAACGGGGTGACTGAAAAGTGCTCCTTCCCCAGCAGAAAGAAATATGCACACCACAAATCACAAGGCTCTTCTCTCATTTGTCTTGAGCTGTGGTAGCAGCATGAATCAGATGCTGAAATAGTCCAGCATGAAGCAGAATCTGATTTAAAAGAACTGTATACACAACCACGTGGACTTTTTAAATAAAGGAAAATAATATTAAAATGTTGGTTTCCTTTCTCCCTTCCCCACTTCCCTTTCTCAGTTGACAGTCAACCAGCTGGTTAACTGCTCAGAAGGTGCACGCTCCTTCCCACATTTAACCAGTGCTCCCCGTGGGGCACTCTGCAGCCAAATGCTTCACCACCACTTGTTAATATTGAACCACAGCACACAGCCACTTCCTCAGGCTGGTGGCTGCAATCTGAGGGACAGCACCTGCAGGAGCTCAGCAGAAGCAATTGATTCACAGCAAAGCAAGATACAGCTGAGAGCTTCCTTCCACAGAACACAGCAGGAAAGAGGGGATGCTGCCTCAGCCAGACAGAATGACCATGATGGATGCTGTCTTGCTGTTATATGGCTCCTGTTGAGTGTGTGACCATGCTTTACTCTGGTTTTGCTCCTCTGATGAACACCTCATATAGAGTATAAAAGGAAAGATATGACAATTACAGAGATTATAAAATGAAAGATAAATATATGACAATATCTGTCAGAATTTTAACCCAAACCAAATTTTCAAACAGTCTTTTCCAAACAGCTATGAAGTGTGTAGATTTTTCTTAATCAAACAACAAAAAAGCACCCCAGTTCAATAGCCTTCTTAGAAAAGGCAGATGGTAAAAAGACGATAAAGCAGTATAGAATACAGTAAGCTGACATTTTCTGCAGGGGACTTCCCCTTCCTAATTAAAAATTACCTTCATTATTTCTTAACTAGCATGACTTTTTAAAACAAAATGATGGATAATTTAAATAGAAGCATAATTTACAAAATGGCTTGAAATATCCCTTAGAACATTTTTCTACCTTTGACCACCTCTGAAGCACAAAAAAGCCTCCAGTAATGCAAGAAATCTGCTCCAACTTTTATGCAAGTCAGTGTCACTGACACCTGAGCAAGAAAGAAACCACAGTCAAGTCCTCACTTCAGAGCACTGTTTAGTTAAAGATGAATTACATGACCTTTTGGCAGGGTGCAATGGAATAGAAGTCAAAGTTACCCAAATTCTTCCATGCTCTAAACAAGTTCAGTCGTCTATCTATGAGAAACTACCTCTGTGTTAGAATAGACCACACTTTACAGAACATGTTTAAGCTAATAAAGTTTCATGGAAGCCTCAAAGAGAGCAGATAAGTCTTCTTCTGTTTGGGGACGTGGTGATAGTTTAGTCACTCTCTCCTGCAAGATGAAAGGAAAACTAGATTATAAATGGATACCAATAAAATTAATCAAACAGTAGGTGAACTACGTGTCTCTGTACTAACATTCTTCACAGAGAATAACAAAGTTTTGCAAAACAAGTAATCAAGTAATTAAATTGAAGTATCATTAACTGCACAGTACTTTCAAGAATATATAAGCTAAAATTCCCTGTAATTAAATTCACAGAAGCAAGATGAGAATGCTTTTCAGTTTCAGAGTCAAGCACAGCAAATATGAGTCTTCTCCATTGCAGATGTCAATACACTGGAGGACATTATCCTGAGAATACAGTCAATTTTAAAAATTAATTTGCCAGCACTGAACTAGGAGTTAGAGTTTTAGGGACCAAGACTTTCAAAATACAACATCTCACAAGGCCCAGGAGCTGATGTAAATAGGGAGAATCAACAACACTTGTAAGTCAGACTCCAAAAAAGAGACACAGCAAGGGACAGCATAAAACTGCTTAATAAACAGCCTGCACCTCAGAGTCAGAATACAAAGAAATTGTGGTTGGTCTTCATTTGGACATTGATTCAACAGAATGTTCAGGTGCTAAAGCCCCACTGACTGAAATGAAACTCAGGTATATACTTTAGTGCTCTGCTTGACAAAATAAGCACAAAGTCAGGGGCTGCAATTCAGAAGAGCCCTGTGCTAGTGAAGATGAGGAGCTGCATTAGTGTAGGTACCCAGTTACTGCAGGAACACTCAGCTGAAAGGGCCCAACATCAGTGAACTCATACTGGTTATGATTAGAACTTTCATGTTTTCAACAACCAATGATTTTAACATTTACTGAAATACTGGGGAGAGTTAGAGATATCTGCAAAGACAGAGTCCAGGCCCACACTAGGAACACATTATCTCTAGATGAGGTGTGTGTGGGCAAGAGAGAGTTTCTTCTGACGCAGCCTGTTTCAACATCGCCCTTGTGAAAGATGCTGCCCTCCAGCTTGACAGTTCCCCCCTTTTTTCACATGTGGACAGTGGATATCAGTTGCTGAGGTCCTTGCCTGAGGCACAGAGTGGGGTGCAGGGCAAGGGGCTCCCCCAGTGCCCTGTCTGGGCAGGAGGCTCAGCTGAGCCCCACTGCGGCACTTCCCCCCAGCCCGCGGGACACAACTGTGCGCAGGCTGGATGTGGTTACACAGCGAGCGAGGCCACTGAGCTGCAAAATCAACGTGAAACAGTGGTCTAGCATGGTGAGAAGTCAGCTGTGGTATTCACAGCTCATAATCATGGTTAGCATGGCTTGTGAGGAGTCTGAAAAGTGCAGCTCTGTGTGCATTATTTTACCTACAGAAGAAGCTTTACTGGTGCATAGGTAGTAGTCAAATGGTACCTCTTTCCCCATGGCTGACACCAGTGCTGCTACTCACAGAGATCCAGCCAAAGAGAAGACTAAGATTCTTCTATGCAGTTTTGAAACCAAATGGAAAATTCAAACAGCACTAGGGCAGTAGTGTGTTGTATTTTTCAGACTCATAATATGCAAAATATAACAACACAGTGCTCAAGTATTCATAAATACATCATATTAGGACCATCTGGGCCAAAGCCAGTTTTGCAGCTCTGTGCACTGAGATGTCCAGATTTATCTGTAAAATCACACTGGGTGACAGGAGACAGCCAGCCTGACAGCCTGACAGACTGGAGCATTTCCCAGCTCTGTCGACAGAAGGCTGCAAATGGATGCTCCTCCCGTATGCCTCGACACAGAGGCACCATCACTACCTCTGCACAAGCTTGCTGATATTTGCTGGTGCCCAGACAGTGAGGCCCTGGCTCCCAGTCTGACTCAGTGCATTCTGGTCTCGTGCCAAACCCAGCAGCTCTGGACTCACCACTGGCTCAGCCCCATTGTAGCTGCCTCTGGGACGTCTGCAGGGGGTGGGTGGACAGACTACAGCCCTAAAATAATCTTATTTTCAGTGCCCCCATTTCCTCTCAAACATCACCACACAGCCACCTTGAACTTTGAGACAGCATCTTCTTTGCTAGAATAACTGCTGTCTGTAAATAAGATCAATTTCAACAGCCTCACTTAAGAAGGGAAATAAAATTCTGTTTTAACTTCAAGCATAGATGTCTGTCCCAACAGAGTTCCCACCCCAAATCCCAGCAGTCAGATTACATTTTTCCCTGCAGTCTGCACTTCACGGTACGGAATATACTTGGCAAACTTTTTAGTGCTGTCACCACTGCACCACATTGTTTTCCTGATGCGAATGAGCCACTGCTATGTTACAAAGCAAACCTACTGCATGAAGAAAAGCAAAAAAATTATACCAAAAAATAAACTGTCAAGGAACACTGATACATTTGCATCATGTCACATCTCATACAAAAAAATAAGGCCTGAGAAACTATTAGGTCATCTCATTTTACACAGTGCAATGAAACACCAATGCCATAAGAAGACAGAAAAACTCTTCAACGTCTATTGGTGAAGAGCTCTTCCCCAGCTACACAGAGCTTGCATCCAATGTTTGTTTTAAAGAAGCATGTTTATCAAAACATACCCTCCAAATGCCCCGTAACAATGCATGTGCATAACCTACTTCATGGGTGTGCAGAGACCTTAGTTTTCTTCCTGGCTTTGCCACTGCTCTGTTGTGTGTGATCCTAAGTAATTGCATCTTTGTGTCACTTTCTCAGGTATAAAATAGGAATATTAATATTTACTGTTAATGTAACTGTTCTAAGGTGCTCGGAGATTTATGAGTTAGAAGAATTATACAGGATCTGCTGTAAAAAGTGAATAACCTTTTGGCCTAAAAAATTTTCACTTTCTCTGTAGTATGTATTTCCTTTGCAACTTGGTGGGAACAAATACTAAGTCCATAGCATATGAATGAAACTATCTTTTTACAAGGAAGATTCTGGATTTTGCTTTAAGAGTGGTGTGTTGCTTTTTGCTGTGTCTTTGTGGGCACTGAAACAATAAAGAGTATTACAAGTTTAATCTATATCATCCCAGGGGACCTTATTTCAAATTCTGATGGGGGTCAATGGAACAAAAAAGCCATCTGTGAAGAAAAATGCAACTTCTCAATATGGAAAGTTTAATGCAAAGTGACTTTGATCATTCTTACCAGATAGCACTTGGTATTAAGGCTTTATCTATAGACCACCTGCACACATAATTAAGAGAGGTAGTTATGAAAAAGCAGTATCTACTACAAAGATCACAGGCCTATGAAAAACATCCTCTTTTTAAAAACTGTAACATTAAAAAAACCCAAACCAAACACTTAGCCCTTTTTTTCTGTATCCATGTAAAAACTGCAGCATGCACTCCATCCCACTGAAAAGAAAAACCTAAGCTGTAGAGTGAAACAAAATACAGTTTGCTATCCATAATTTTCTCAATTTAAATACTTTTCATGTAGGAATAGAAATAAAACTTGCTGGAAAAGAAGCACTTCTGTTTTTTTCCAAAATCTGTTCTCTTTTATTTGACAAGAAAAGCTGTTTTGCTCTCTGTCTTACCTGAGGCAGAGTGCCTTTGACTAATGCAGGGATGTCTGCTTTGGAATAACCAATTGCAGCTAAGCCATCATCAACATTCAGATCAAATAGGAATTTCCGGAGTGTGTCTGCCAAAATAAGCCCTGCATCTTTGATTCTGGCAGTGCGGATGTCAGCTCCTAAAATAAGACATAATGCCTTGACTGTAGGGTGGAGAGAGCAGAGGAAGCTTGTCCTGGACTTAATTTAATCATAATATCAGCTGAATACATATCCATACATAACAGCCACTGCCCTAAAAGCAGCATGAAGTAAAAAGAGGAATCAGTCCTCGTTTTACAGTTGAAATAGTTTGTGAAAGGTGAAATAAAACAAGATCAGAAGCTCGTTAACTGCTGCCAAAAAGACTAACTGCCACATGAGGTTAACTTCCTTTCCCTCTGTGCTTGCAGGGAGAAGCACTTTTCAGTCTGACTAACTGCTGGGAGGAAAGCAGCTAAGGCATGAACATCAGTGGTATTTATTTGTATGGACAGTGTGCCAAATGCTAACTTCATTTTAAGGCCTTGAGTTTGCTGACATCTAGAGGACTGGTCCGTTCAATTACACATTCAGAGCGAACTACAGCATGTAGGCTGGAAAAGGCAGGAAACAGCAGGGCAGTGTTCAGTGGGTTGAGTAAATTCTAAATTTATTGCTGTTTGAATATGTGCTGACTTGTGTGGGGTACTGTAGAACTGAAGAGGAGGAACTTCTCTCTTTGAAGCATCTACTAAACAGTAATGAAAACACCAACACAAAATGAAAGATTACAAATATTTCTTACAGAATAGCTCGTGTTCCCTTCTTCAATGAATGTTCAAGACTTACTTAGAAGTGATTAAAAAAGTATGTCCAAACAGGAGACCCAAGTTCCTCCATATGATTTCTTTCAAAGTAACCTGAGCTAAATTGGTTCACTGTGTAACCTCAGTGATGTTACACCAGAACTATGTTAGGTCCAAGTGCCATACTGAGAGATGAGTAAGAGCAATACATAACTACAGGAAAAATATCTTCTGTGATCCTCATACAGCTCAGTGTAACATTCAAAGGGAGTTAAGTGAACAGGAGACCTACTAGTCCCCTTGAAGAGCTGAGCCATTCAGGTAGTAATGCTGGCAGTAATGTAGCAAATAATGTCTGGGAAAAACTGATAAATAAGATATGAGAGAATCTTGCACGAAGTCTTGTGCTATTGGGGCTATGCCATGAAGTCTGAGTTTATCCTGGATTTTGCTGTGGAGGGGAAACTAGGACATAAACCTACTATCTTCAGATAGTAAAGAAAAAGGGAAAGGGAGGAGGATAAAATATGACAGTAAATGTGATTGGCAGTTTTTAAATATTGCTATAGCTCTAGTACTTTCTTTTTGCTCAACCTAAAAGACACATCACTCTTTGATTGCACTTCGAAAGTCTCTGGCCACATGCACACCTAGTTCAACTGTTTAAGAATCCATCCAGGGAGGTATTAAGCTTTTTCTGGCTGTACCCAAATTCACAGCTGTACATACACACAACATAACTATTTAGTAATCTGCTTCATGTCATAAAATGCCTTCTTAGTCATTGCATTTGGCAACATGACAGATTTGAATCAGCTACTGTAGTCAGTTGGACTCTGGAGTAGACTCAGAAGTAAACATCCCAGATGGGAATTAACAAATTCAATTCCATGTGACATGTTTTCAGCAGAATCCCTTTCCAGCAAGGCACACAGTGACAAAATTAAAATTTCTACTAAGAAAATTAACAGAACTTTTAGAGACAGAATTTATGGCAGAAGTTAATACCACAAAATCTAAAGCAAGTGCTTTTCAGTCACTTGTTTTAAAATCAAGAGCCAGACCTGAAATTTTCTGACATGCTGTGCTGACCAGTTATCTAGACACATTTTGTTCAACTAATTTTAGTTGTGTGTTATTGCTGTAGGAACACAGATATTTATTAGCTCAGTATGTGATTCCAGCTAGGTTTGAGTTTTGGTTTTGACCACAGGCAGGACAGCATATTTTAGAGGAAGCCTGAACAACCTCACAGACAGTTTATGAAAGGAACAGAACTTTCACCCAATGTAGTTTTTATGACCATGTTGTTTTACACCCTCTATAAAATACTGTGGTATTTTCATTGTCTATATAAAAGCCCCATTATTCTTGAGATCCACAATGCTTTGAGATTACTTATACAAGCAAGTCATACATGTGACTGGACTGCTGTGACTTGCATACAGAAGGTTGACCATACAAGGGACTGAACACAAATTTTCCAAATACCAGGAGAGTTGACCTAACCACTTTTTCTCCACTCCCTGCATTGCTGTGCACGTGGCTGTGACTGCTCCTTAGCCAGCATGGGTATTAGCAGCAGGGTAGCCACGACACAAAACTTAGTGCAGGAAAACCCTGACCTTGGACAAATAAATTAGCTCAGTGCAGAGCCATGCTGTCACAGCTAGACTGCTAACAGCTCTGAGACTACATCACTGGAATCTGGTTATTACATACAGTCATGCTGGAGGTATAATAAAGAGCTATCCTTTCCCTTAGGACACCCTTTGGTGATGGACTGCACACGTAACAAGGCACTGTAAAATAACCTTTAAATGAGCTGTCAGCTTGCAGCATTCACTTTTATTCTGCTAAAAAGCAGAAAAGGCCATTTTGTTCATTAATCTCTTTTTAGCCATTACATATGTGTCCAGAGAAGAGCTACTCCAGGAAAAGCTTTCCCTTGGCATCAGCCACTGAGAAATTCCAACACCTACAAATAAGCTTAGGCCTACATTAGAAAGACCAAAACCCACAGCTGTGTGCCACGGAAAAAGAGAAGGAGTGATTCAGAATATCACTGTTCTAATTTCACTGTCACAGCAGGGAATTTGTTAGGGAAAATATTTCCTTTAGCTAACAAATGCCCCCGAGTACTGGTTCATTTTGTAGTAACTACTCTTCATAAAGTGACAAGAGTTGTGCCAATCACAGCTACTCTTGTTTGATTTGCAATAGACTTCCAGTTAATTTCAGCTGTACACTTTTCTAGCCAAGAATCAGATTTTCTCCAGCTTGCTCCTCTAATCACATCATTCAATATCAAAATTCAGCATTATTCTATCTAATTTGCATGACATCTAATTCCAGAATCTTGTTTTCTAAACTTAAAACCCTCCCAACAACCAATGACAATTGCTTATACACAACTTTTTTCAATCCCAAAATATCATTTTGGAAAGAATTCCATTTGTACACGAGAACAGTACCCACAGAGATTCCTACCTAGAATCTCTGCAGCTTCTAAATGCCGTTCAGGGTGTATCTGTGCTGTGAAAGCAAACACTGCTGGGGATGTCAGCACCACAGAAAGGCCATGTGGCTGGGGAGAAAAAAAAAAGGAAAAAAGTAACAAAATACATCAAGACATGTACTTTTAACTTAAATGGACTTTAATGCTCGCTAATGACAGATAACAGATATTTGAAATATATAATAAAACCCCAAAAAGAAACAAGTTTTACCACTAAAGAGTGATCCACATTATAATCCTTTGGTTTGTAAGTTTTCACCAAGCCAGAAATAGGGTAAGACATTCCATGGCTGGAACAGAGAGCAGAGAGAGAGTGGTTAGGACAGCTCTCCCGGTATTTGGAAAATTTGTGTTCAGGCCGTTTTGTGGTCAGTTTTCAGTATGCAAGTTTCTTCAGTACAGATACTCAGAAGGTATTGACAGGTATGGTGTGGATATTAGGTACAGACAACCCTCATTCCTCTGCACCTCAGGAACCTAGCTAGAAAAGACAGTACCTCCTTACTTTGTGAGTGTGAAGTTATATTATTTCACTGACTGAACTGAAAGATGTTCAATTTCCTACAATAATGTAAATATGCCAAAAATATCATAGTCTGCATACCTATGTGTTCTTACTGTCTGAGAAAAAGAAACTTTAATTTTAAGATATAATTAAAAGAGTAGACTTGCTCAAAGAAAAATAATGCAAGGAAGGTCTCTGAAGAGAATGACTGCTAATAACTTCTGCATACAGGTCACTTTTAGGCTTTGCTTCTTTGAGATTTTCATCCAAATGAAACTATATTGCCTTGCAATATTAATTACAGCTCATTTCAGACTGCTGATTGCCTATCACACAGACAAACTTACAGATAATTGCATCAGTTCAGGAAAAACTCAAGATTACATCATTGCTGTCTCACTGTGGAGGAGCTGGCATGGAATCTAACATCTAAAATGTCATTGACTTTTTTACTCTTGTTTTTACTACTAAGGAAGGTAAAGAAGGCTGTGTTTTGTAATTTCCATGTGACTGGTTTTGAGTATCACAACCCGAGAATGTACAATCCTTATACACATAAATGAAAAGAGCCCATCAGTTTGCCACAACACACAGATCCTTCAGCATCACAGGCCAGGCCACAATCCCTTACTTTACATTCAGCAACAAGAGTAGCAACATCTTTGACAATCTGAAACAAACACAAGTTATAAACTGATCTCAGATGGGATTACTATTTCTCTGTACTCACCAGAGATGAACACCAGCATTGCCAAAGCCAATACCAGCAAAAGCACTTGCCAGGTGCATGTTTGCTCTTGCTTCATGGTCTTCAGGGTTTCTGATGGCTCTGGGCACCATGGAGGCAAATGGTACCAATGAATTTACAGATAGGTGATTCAACAGGGAGAAGGGAGAGAGGGCTTCTTTATGGACAGATATACAAAAAAATCTAAAAGAAGCTGAGATAAAAATGGTGGAAACAGAATCAAGTCACACTTCAGTAAAAGAACAATCCTGCATCCTGATCACTTAAGTATAACATACTGGTTAAATGAAGGGCAAGCTTCCTTTCACTTTTCAAAAAAAAAAAAAAATAGAGTGAATTTAACCATACTCAATTCAGTGTTGAATTAGAAAATTCTAGTTATAATCTTTGGTAATCCTGTGTATGGCTCCAGGATCACTCCAGCTTTCTCAGTAGGTGGTGCTCTAGACCCCACTACCTGTGTGGGAAAAAGACATGATTCCCTGCCTTCCTATGCCTCAGGATCATTGTGTAGTTTGACAGTAAGGAGAAAACGTCTCATGAATAGATTCCAAAGGAACAAAAACCAACTATTTTGACTCACTAGGTACTGTGAAAAGTTTTTTCAAAAAACCCCCACACTGATCTTTAATAGAAATGCACATGCTATGCAAAAGCTGTAAACAGGCTAAATCTTTATTGACAGGGATCAACACCAACTCCCAGCTAAGGCAATACCTATTCTAAACTGAAGGTCTTCTAAGAATAAGCAGGTTTGAATTCACACTTTTGCACATTCATAAGTGCATGTTAGTACCTTCCTGATGGATGTGCAACTATCTTAATTTACACTGAAGGCCACAGAAGTAAAATTAGCAGTATTTTATTCAGTTTGTTACATATACCCCTTATACTGTCATAGAAAGGAGGTTCTTGAAAAAAATATGTAAATGCGGCTCCCCTATTAACTGTACAGCTTGAAAGACCTTTAACTGAGGACTTCTAAAATAGATTCACAGAGGCATTAAAAAGCTACCTCCTCAAGACAAACCACTAATCCCTTTTTTTTTTACTTTGAATTTTATCTGAAAAATATTTTGCTTCATTTAAGAAAAATCCAGGGTAGAAAACAAAAGCTTAATGTTGCAGCTTGCCTCATTCCAGCCTAACACTTACATTCTTGCAGGGGCACTGTGGACTGAGCACATGCAGGGGTTGTCAGGTGCGTTACCTTTTCAGGTACTTGGCGACAATGCGCAGAGCGTGCAGAGCCCAGACATCGCTGACGGGGTTGCTGCCTTGGTAGGCTGGGCGGTTGATGGGATTGGAGGGGCAGGGACAGCGCTGGTTGTAAGGGAGAGCAGTGTAGGATTCCAGGGCATGACTAACAGAAAGATGGAGAAACCAATTATTTAAGGGGTAGAGCTCCCTTTTACTGCCCTGCTGTCCTTTGAATGCAGGTTCTTATTTATTTCTGGTGTCCAACAGTTGCTAAAACAAGAAATAGAATCTCACAGTGGAAGAATGCTGGGCCAGCACCTCTAGAGTACTTCCTCTCCAACAAACATACTGAAGGCAATCTAAACACAAGTCAGTGCCTTTCCATCAGCTCACACCATGCTAAAAGCCTGGTTGGATGCACGAACACCTGCAGTGTTTTTCACTGAAGAGGGCTGTACATGTGCAATGGATGCATTTCCTTTCTGTAGGACAGGAACCATATGAGACTTTAGCACAGGAACCTTCATAGGGTACTTTTATTTTAGAAGTACTGACCTTGAAAAAATTATGGGTACGATATTTAAGCTAAGTGGAACCGCCAATAGTCTCACCTCCCAGATACTCATGAATCTGACCACATAAAGGAGGGGCACTGCCTACATGGCTCTATTAAGATGAACAAAACTACAAACCATTTTCATTGATGAACAAATACCTTTTTTCCATTACAGACATTGCCAGGGTCCTTCACCACGCTTGAGAAGTCACAGCTTTATTACATATTGACTACTTTAATGCACATAGCACCCAGAAGCAAAGTAAGCTCTGGCTCTCCAAATAGAAATGTTAATGCATTTTGTGCAGTTAAGCTGTTGGTTTAAGATGAATAAAATTTTGTGCCAAGTGAAAAGCAAACTGTGAGATTGGTTCCAAGATGATCACAGCTGGGTGAAGACCTGCTTGTAGCTCACAAGCTTTTATGCATTTTTATTGACACATCATGGCTTTTGTTGGAAAATTCTTATTCTCTATTCCCTGCCATGTCTGTGATTCATGATAAATGCTATTACAATTGTGATTAATCATCTATCTCCATGATCCCTTTAAAAGGGACACTTGGACTCTTTTCCCTGACAACAGCTATTCTGGAAGTAAAGATTTTCTCCAGTACACTGCAAAAACATTCAAATTTCTGCAAATGCAGGATTTGTTTCCGTACATTCTGAGGGAGGCAGTGAAACTAAGGAAGAGGAAAGTCTGACAGAGCTCAGCTAAACAAGAACAGCAAACAGAGAAAAAAGATCATGTGCTCTCAAAATGTATTTTTTCTACAATCATCATAGTAGAAATACAAAATTTAAATAAATTCAAGTAGCAACCTGTGCAGAAAACTCACCAAAGCACATCAAAGCCACTGTTGGCCACTATTCGTTCGGGCATAGACAGTGTGTGTAAAGGATCAATGATGCCTAACGTTGGCTTAATGGCTCTTGAAGCAATACCTGCAATGTGCAAAGGGAGAAGAATCAGTTAAAGATGTTTTGCAACAAAATAGGACAAGATAAGCTTAATGTTCAAAACATGACTATAAGGAGGGAAAAACATATTTGAAACTATGAACATGAAAGCAAAGAGAAACAAGGGAGGTTAGAGAGTATTTACCAATGTGAGACTGATGATGAAGTCTTTCTAAAAGAGTTACATGATTTGAGACTTTTGCCTGAACTGGATCATACCAGACAACGTTCTCTCTCTGTTTGCATCCCTCCCTGAGCAGACTTGCAAAATGTCTGTGGCATCTGCAGTATTCTTAGATTTGTATCTTCTGTGGACAGTCAGAAGGCAAAACTGGTTTGTACCTGCAATCAATTGTTATTGCCAATTGCTGTCTTGAGCAATAACCATGTCCTTGCTATTTCGGTTAAGGGCACAAAGATGTAGCTCTGAGAGAGACAGACAGACAGACTGACTGACGATGTATAGAGTAGAAAACTGTTGAGCTATTGTCAAACCTCCTTAGCACACCCACCTGGGTCCCAAGTTCTGCAGATTGTGTGGCATATAAAATCCATATGTTTAGAAGCAAAACCTTAAACAGCTATGAAGCTCAAGATGACATTTTAGCCTTAATCTTTATTTGCCAGGGATGAAAAAGCCAAAGGAAGACAGTGTCCCTCACTTGCACAGCATCCCAGGCCTGAGGTTTCCAAAGTCAGGAAAAGGAACATTTGGTTGCAATTACACAACAAAGAAACAGAAGTCTTAAAAGTAGAAAGAAAAATACAGAGGAAATAAGGAACAGTTGGTTGACCCTGAATATAAATAGAAATTTCCTTTGTAATTAACATTTTCTGCCATTTAAGGACTTGAAAGATTTCAGTTTCCTGTTTTGCCTTCAAAATATAATCCACTGTATTACATAGGTATTTCATTAAGTTAATATGATATAAATTTAATTAAAGGAGGAAACCTTTAAGCTTTTAAAATTTGCCTGTGGCTGTTGAATCAAACAAAATGACACCTGAAATGACATGCAGTATCCTTTCCTTTCAAGGCAGGGAAATAACAAAGACATTGGAAAAGTAATTGTCTTGAATAACACACAAAACCCCCCACAAACCAACCAAAAAACCCCAAAACAAAGCACCAAAATTCTCACCGGTTTTAACTTTTAGTTCTTTGAAGTCAAAAATGGCAACACCAGTGGTTTCACTTCCAGTGCCAGATGTTGTAGGAACTTAAAAGGAAGAATGGGGATAACAACAAATAATAAGAAATCTATAATACTGCAATTTAAATAAGAAAACCACAATAGTAACACCACCCAAAATACAGTGCCCAGGAAATCTTAGAGGTATCCCTGATCCAAAGCCAAGAGATCAAAAGGAAACTGCTACTTTGATCTCTTTTCTCAGTAAATGAGGTCTAGCTGAGCTAAACAAGACAAATTAAGGATAAAACCTCTTATTTTACCTTCACTGAATTAAGCAGCAAAATGACTGCTGAATACAACTAGAGGAAAAGTTAGCCCAAAGGAAGCTGAAACAGTCATAGTAAACTGATTTCAGTAGAAGTATCAGACAGCGTAGACTGACTCATCTCCCCCTTGCCCCAACTCTCCGCACATTCTCCTCATGCTTTACCTGCAATAAGGGGTTTGAGGGGTACAGTGACTGGCTTCCCTTTCCCAATAGGAGCATTGACATAATCCAGGAATTCTGATGAAGGGCTGGCTGCATACAGATTGGCAGCTTTACAGGTGTCTATTACAGACCCACCTCCAACAGCAACATAGGCATCAAATTCTCCCTTTTTAGCAAATTGAATGGCATCCAGGAAACTTAGGACACAAGAAAGATTTTCCAATTAGTCAGGATAAAACCAGTACACAGGAAAACTAACGATTAAGACCAGCATGCAGGCCACAGGGAGGTGTTTAAAAAGCCATATGAAATCCTGTAAAGGCCCAGGCACTACTTGGAGAAATGCACTGTCAGAAGCAAATTGTACCTTTGGTCTGTTGGTTCCACACGGACATTATCATACATTTGAAAGTTTATACCATATTTTGCCAAGGAATTCAATACTGCATTTACAGGAGGGAGTTTGGAGAGGTTTTTATCTGTCATCAAACAAACTCTTCTAGCACCAAGATTCTGCAGGTCCTACAATAACGAATCAAAAAACCAAACAACTGGTATAAAATCATATACTTCACTATTTAAACACTAATCCAAATCAACTGAACCATTTGATAATAATAAAACCCCGACTTAAAAATAGTTGGCTATTTCAAAATTTTTAAAACCATATCAGCTGAAGAAAAAGGAAGTTAACCACACACATGTAGAATATAGAAAGCAGAATAAAATTTAAAGCTGCCAAATTTATATAGTTGAAGTCTTATGATAGAAGTAAACGAAAGTTGTTGAACCACATGAAACTGCTTTAAACAATAGTAAAATATAAAATATCTTTTAAAATATTTTTTCTTAAGTTCCTGTAAGAATAAAAAAGGCCTTTTCACAGATTGTCTCCATCAACTCCCTACCACAGCACAGCAGTAAAATATTGAAAATGTAATGAAAAGAGACAGTGATAAAAGCACACTGGAACTATACACTCAGGTGAACCATCTCACACTGCTGAAACAAAAATTCTACACTTACACAGGGCAAGCTGAGAACTGAATGAATATCTGGCTAATTTAATAGAAAGTCTCTGATTGAGTTAATGAGCGCTAGAAATATGAAAGCCATCTTGAGGAAATCCTGGTGAGTCATCAGGATTCAAAACTTTTTGAATTAAAATCCCTGTCAGAGAAAAATATTGTTGAATACTTGTAGCAAAGTATCCATTACTCAATTATCCATTGCGCTGCATTTCATACACCACAGCACCACTGGTGCACCATGCCTCTGTTCTTCAACCATCAGTATGCTCTGACCTTTTTGCACTTATACATTGGACCACACCATATATCAGCTTTCCTTTATTAAGTGGATTGATAGCACTGGCTGCCCTTCAGAAAATAACCTTTTCCTAGCGATGGACTTATACCATAGCAGCTTACCATGCCAATCTCTTTTGTAACTCCTTCTCCATATCGGATGTTTGAAATGGCCATCTAAAAAAAAAAAAAAAAAAAAGAACATTTTTTTTCTCATCAAAAATGGCATCTGGCCTTACTCGTTCAAAGTGAAATATAAATATTTGATAATGCAAATATTTGTTAAATACCATATTTGTCAAGAAGTATTGTTTGCACAACTTTTAAATGAAACATATTTTATTATTAAATCTACCTCAAATGCATAGTCTGTATTTCCCAGGTTGGGCTGTTCAGGAACTGGAATAGAAATAAAACAGTAGAATTAGGAAACAGTAAGTTATTTCAACCTGTTTCTCAGCTCTAGAGTTGACAGATTCCCTTGCTTTTGGAATCACTAACATATTTCCACAGGTCACCTCAGCTTGTCTGCATAACAGTTACCCATTTCATCCCTTGCTGTTCATGAGATTAAATGATCCAAATACTCGATCTTTCTCACATAACTGAACAAAACAAGTGAGTTTTTCAAGTTCTTTCAAGAATTAAGTATTTTTTATAAAAACTGAATAAATTGGCAGGAAGGTTGCATGAGAGTTTGTTTGTAGTCTACAAAGACCAGAATAGCCCATAAAAAAGTAGAACTGAGTATGTGTTACATCTCACTCAAGCTGAGAGGTGCTAGAAATACATAGGGGCTACATGATAACCTTCAGAACAACATGTAAGACAAATTCATGAGACATCCTCTTTACATCATCTGAGATATACATAATCTGAGAACAACTTATGTATGCATGGGAGCAATACTAACAGGTGTTTACACTTTTTACTTCTACCTAGTACTGAACTTGGAGGTCAAACTGAGTTATTTGCTAAAAAATGACTATGTGCACTGCTAATAATAAATAAGAATCAGTGTGTTACTATTAACTTTAATTAGAAGATATTTTTAAGGGCAGTATTTCAGTCATAGCTTCTCTCTGCCGTGTCATTTTTGCATGAATTATCACAAAACTAATTTTCTGGCATACTCTGATTTTGCCATAGAGTGAAGCAAACTGCATCAACTGAAATTGCCCATTCTTCTTCAAGAAAACACCAGGCAAAGCATTCTGCTCTTCCTGCTGGAGTCATGCCTTATGTCTGCTCTATTGATTGAAAATACACAATTTGGATTCTGATCCAATGAGTGAAGCCATGAAAATGAGGCTTACAGACATGCTGGGGTGCACTGAAGCACTGACCCACAACAGTAACAGATAGATGTATTAAAACCCTTTACGTACTTTCTATTCAAGCACAGGCCAGCTGCTATCAGCTCTTTCATTGCCGCCTCTAGCTAGGCTGTACATGTTTGACCTCTCCTGGAGCTGGAGTCTGCTGTACTTTCAGTCATTAATTTGACATGCTAAGGACATGTCCAAACCATTTACACTCTTGCTTTCTGATAGTATAATAGACACCCTGCTGTTACATTCTTGAACTAAACTTAACTTTCAGGGCGAATTTTACTGAGTTCAAAAATTGCACTGTTTCCTTGAACACTGCCAAGAAACATAAAGAAGTTTGTTTTCTTTTTTTTTTCAGCTATAGTCACTGTTCAATCAATTCCTAGTATTTAGAGATGTACTGAACTGATATCATCTTGCTATGCTATAGACTCTATTGCTGCCTAAAACTTTCAGAGAGGGTTCTTAACTCAGGCTCCACTTTAGCAAGAGTTTAGTTGGAATTGACTGAGTAGGTCATCAAGCAGACAAGCAAAATAATGAAATTCTATTTCTCAGATGCACTATTGTCTTGCTGTATGGATGATCTTGGGCAAAACAAGTATCTGAACATATAAATACTTTTCCATATGTAAAATGACGTCAATTCTTTAAGAAGTGTTCTAAGCATGTGAAACCATGCTACTAAGAGTTACACATTACTGAAATTATGACCCAAACCACTACCAACAATCTGGAGACTGACAGTTATTCTTCTAACCTCCCTACAGCCCATGCAAACAGAAACTCATCCTAGGGTGACCTGGGTAAGTCAGCGCAGCTCCCCTGCTCACAGTCCACAATCCTGGCCTAAGTGAGCAGTGTTCTTGGGACTGACTGTATAAAAAGCCTGTGGAGACTTTACTCCCCATGCCAACACACACCTTTGTGTTAGGCTACTTTTTATCCATATAGCTTCCTGTTTCTTTTCTGATGTAAGCTGTGTGTATCCAAAAGCAGATCTAAAGACAAGATGGTTCAGGTGATGACAGCTAGAGCAAAGTTCAGATCAGCTGGCCCCACGGTATGGGGAGGGAGGGGACAGGAGCAGTAACTGTGGTTTATGCGGGAGCAGTGACTCTCTTCAACAATAACCACTACCATTGTACAGCTGCAAAATAACAGGCTGTTTACCTTCTCCTTTAGATTGTTCCTTCCCACCTGCACCCTCTGCCCAGGTTATGTGGATACATACAGCCTTCTACAGGGTCATGGCCTCCTACAGAATTATTCTGGAGAAACAAATTAAGCCTTACCTTGGGAATAAGTGTGGCCATGGCTCGGGCACCGACAACTAGTTAAAATGTAAAAAAAAAAAAAAAAAAAAAAGAAAAAAAAAAAAAAAAGAAAAAAAAAAAGTGGTATGGTTAAAGGCGAAAACTAAAGCTTTACGTCCTGTAAGTCTCCTGTAAGCACCCACTCCAAAGGCCTGCAGCTGAGCCGGACTCTGTGCAGCGGGAGCGGGCACGGGAGGGCTCGCAGGGGCGGAGCGGCCGCCGCTTTCCGCTTCTCAGCCGCGGGCCCGGGAGGGACCCCCGGAGGGACCCCCAGGAGCGAGCCCCGCGCCCCGTCCCGCCGCACTCACGCTGCCCGCTGCAGCAGCCGCAGCAGGCGGGACACCCGCGCCCGCCCCGCCGCCATCGCCCGGATCTGGGGACGGCCGGAGAGGGGCCCGGGACGGGGCCCGGGACGGGGCCGGGCCGGCGGCAGCGCCTCCTCCCGGGACAGCGCCGCTGCCCGGCCCCGCACACGGGTGTCCCAAAGAGGGACTCGCACGGTCAGGCGAGAAGTGCCCGCATTCAGCACCCCCAGCCCGCGGTCCCCGTCGTCGAAACCCAACTCAGGCCTGCTTGGAGGCAAAGAAAATCTGGTTGCTAAAACAGACAGCACAGAATGCCAGTGAAGAGCCACTAAAATTTAATTAGGACTGAGTGTGTGTTGTATTTTTGTCACAAAAAAATACTGAGAGTAATGGAATTTCAAAATTAAAATAATAAAACAAACCCATGGTCCTGAAGTTAAGTGAAATACTTTTCCGACTCTACAGTTGTGCCCAGTGACAGAACAAGGAGGAATGGTGATAAACTAAAACACAAGAAGCTTCACCTTAGCATGGAGAATTTCTTCACACTGAGGGTGGCAGAGCACTGCAACAGGCTGCCCGGGCAGGTCGTGGAGTCTCCCTCTCTGGAGACAATCAAAACCCACCTGGGCTCGTTCCTGTGTCACCTGCTCTAAGCAACCCTGCCTTGGCAGGGGTTTCGGACAAGATAATGTCCAGAGGTCCCTTCCAACCATGACAATTCTGTAATTCTATGAAATCATGGTAAATTATAGCGCAGGAGGGATCAAAATTCTATAACCAAATTTTTAAGCTGTAAGCTATGCTGCTTAGCTGCCAGCAGACTAGTATGCTAGTATCGAGCAAAGGAAACACTGGATTCTGACAAAAACGCATCAGTTTTCTAATGTAACATATATAAGTATTTTACCTTTGAATGCTCTTTATGTCTTACTAGATGGTCTTTAAGGTCCCTTCCAACCCATAGCATTCAATGATTCTATGAGAAGATTAGATGAGCCTAAATCTCAGGAACTAAAGGTGCTGAGCTTGGGAGAGCAGGTTAGTGGTCTGCTGAGACCCCACATGAAGCTGCAAAACCTTTATCCATTTGTGAGAGCCAGAAGGTGGCAACACCATAGGAGCACTTCTGCTCAGGTGACTACTTAGCTGCTGGAGATGAACACACTTCCTGGGATTTTGGTGGAGAAAATTGACCAGTAGCCTTGTGAGCAGCTCACATCAGGTGTGTGTATGAATGGGAAAAGAGCCCTTCTCTCTGGCTGAGCATGTACAAGGTGTGCCCTATGGAAATATCTCTCTTTAACAACCTTTTCCATCCCTCCATGTGCTTGTTGGCCCTAGTTTGTCCTGATACATACTGAAGGGTTGATTACACAGGGCTGTGCCCACAAGACCACTACTGCCACTGACAAGTCCTGCAGTGCTGCAGACAGCTCAGCACATGGGCGAGAAGCACTAGAGAGGCAAAGAACATACCTTATGCAAGGCCCACAGGCTGGGCAGTGGTCAGCCCATCAATGCCATCCAGGCTCAAAGGTGTACAAACCTCTTCTGCCCTCAGCACTCCTCTACACAAAGGTTTTGCTTTCTGATGCTTTTTACTGAAGCTGCCATCCTAGCTGAAGTGCTACAGAACAAGAAGAAAACTGCTTAAGTCATCCAGCTTTTTCAAAAACTCACTTGCAGTGAGGCATTACAATATCACTAACCACTAAACCCCTCAAAGTTTCAAAACCTAACTTAATTGAGATTACTAAAACTTGTTTTACTAACTTTCTTACATCTTCCCTGTAGCTAAGCCACACATTGAGATAACAGATTTTTTTTTTTCTATTTCAACTGTATATACAACATTACAAAGTTCAAGAGTAATGGGAAGAAGTCTCAGACAATTTCTACTACCTGCTCTCAAACTGCTAGGAAAACACCAAGATTATTTCTATAAAATGATGGATTAGTGTTACTACAGGGAGAAATTTGGGTTTTAACCTGTACAATACAAACATTTTTCTGCTGAACTCAATGGCTGCTCAGCAGCTTTTTTCAGACTTCCTTTTTTCATCAACAAAATGCTATGGAAAATCTGTACAATTTCTTAGGCCCTGGAATAAATTTTACACTAAGTTTCCATGTTCCTTTTGTAACCGAACCTGAATACCACAGAGCTGAGCGGCAGAAGCTGATTTACAGAGCAAGAGCTCCACCATCAGGCCACTGGCCCAAAGCAGCGAGCAGCAGCCACATCCTTTAACTGGACCTGTGGCTGCTACTCCATCAATACTCCAGGTCACATCTGCGGTCCAGTCCCAGCCACCTGAAAACAGCTTTGCTCAGCTTTTGTCCTGGCAGAGATGCTGCAGGCCAACTGTGAAGCGACATTACCTGTGAAACAAGTCACTGTGACACCCCCAGACTGGAGGGAACTGGTGCACCCTTCTCCCTTCACAGGACACCGATTTCCCTTGGATGGAGAACACAGCCCTCCTTGTCTACCAGCTACGAGCCAAACGCAGGATGTTTTAGAAAGGTCAGAACGCATTTATTGACAGATACGTGTGTGAACAGAACACCGGGCAGGAGGCTGGCAGCGACAGTCCCTTCCCACGCCTCGGTGGGCATCCTCAGCCCGTGCTGCACACTGTCTCTCACGCCTTCTTTCTCCTGCCCGCGCCGGTACCACCGCCCGCAGCCTTCTTCTGCTGCGGCTGCCGCCGGGCTCCGCTCTTCTTGCCGCTGCGCCCAGGCCGCTGCTGCCGGCGGCCGCGCTTGCCCCGCTTCGACTGCTTCTTGCCCTTGTTGGCAGCGGCCGCCTCGGCTTCCTCCTGCCGCAGCTGCTTGTTGACGGCGCGGGTGATGTCGAGCACCGGCTTCTTGCTGCCCATGTCCCGCAGCAGCTCCAGCTGCCGGCTGCGCTCGGCCGCCAGGTTGCCCAGCAGCGGCTCGAAGCGGCGCTTCTTGCCGCTGTTGCGGGAGGGCGGCTCCGCCGACTCCTTCGGCAGGCGCGGCTGGAAGCGGCCGAGCGAGGCGGTGGACACGCGGGCGACGCGGGCGACGCGGCGCAGCTCGTCGCGGTCCTGGTGGCCGGTGGGGTGTAGGGGCGCGGCGGGCACGGCGCTCCCGGCGCGGTGGGCTCGGGCCAGGTTGCGCAGCCGGTTCAACTCGTTGCGCGCCACCCGCTCCCGCTTCTCCCGCCGCAGCCGGGCGAACTGGTCCTCCTCGGGGTCGGCGCCCGCCGGCACCTCCGCCAGCCAGGCGCGGGACGGGTCTCCGCCCGCCCGCCGGTAGCCCCAGCGCCGCCGCCACTCCTTGGCCTGCTCGTCCCACACCAGCGAGGTTTTCTTCTTGCGGCGGATGCCCTTCAGCCGCGCGAACTGCTCCCAGCGCGTCGGCGGCCGCGGTTTCGGCGGCGGCTTCTCCCGCGGCAGGCGGAACGTGGGCTCGGGCAGCTGCGCCACCAGCGGGCCCCCGGCGCCGCCGGCGCGCTCGGCCGGCAGCTCCCAGAGCCGGGACACGAGCAGCTGCGTGTTGTCCCGGGCCAGCGCCTGCAGCAGCGCCTCCCGCCGCGGGCCGGCCCCGCGCAGCGCCGCCGCCGGCGGGGGGTTGCGGTCCACGGCCAGCAAATTGCCCAGGTCGTACTCCAGCTCCAGCTCCTTTTCCACCGTGATGCTCCGCCGCTTCTCCGCCTCCTGCTCCTCGGCGGCCGCCAGCACCGCCTCCACCCGCACGGCCGCCATGGCAGCGGCTGCACGTGCGAGCGGCGCCGCCGCTGCCCCGGAGTGCGGAAAGCTCCGCCGGGTCAGCGCGCCGGAACCGCCGGGCCCCGAACCGCCGTGCCCTCGGGGCGGGACGGGCGCAATGCCCGCCGGGAGATGTAGTCCCGCCGCGCCGGCCCGCCAGAGGGAGCCGTGGCTCCCCGCGGCCTGCCAGAGGAGCCCTGGTTTGCCAGGGAAGCGGCTTATGGACATGCCCTGCCAGCCACAGAACCACAGAATCAATTGGGCTCGAAAAGCCCTCTGAGGACATCAAGTCCAAGCTGTGACCAAACATCACCATGTCAGCTAGAGTGGGAAACTGAATGCCACATCCAGTCTTTAATTAAAAACCTTTAGGGATAGTGACTCCACCACCTCCTTAGGCAGCCCATTCCACTGTTTAATCAACCTTTCTGTGAAGAAATTATTTCTAATACTCGAACTGAACCTCCCCTGGTGCAGTTCAAGGTTATATCGCTAGTTGCCTAGCAGAAGAGGCCAAACCCTACCTGGCTACAGCCTCCTTTCACCTAGTTGTAGTGAAGGATAAGATCACCCCTGAGCCTCTTCTCCAGGCAAAACAGCCCCAGCTCCCTTGGCCGCTCCTCATGGGACTTCACCTTCTGGACCCCTCACCTATGGTACTGATGATCACCAATCATACTGATGAAATCCTCTGTGACCCCCAAGCTGGGGCTGTGTGGGGTTCAGGGTGGCCCCAAATCTGTCTCGTGCCGCTACCATGAGTGGTGCTGAGGTGGAACATACATGGGAAGACTCAGGACATAAGGGGAGGCAATGCCAAAAGCAGAGTGGTAGGACCATTGTAGAGTCAATGGGGTCCTGCAGCTTCCCTTGCCTTTGCCTGCAGTAGGGACGTGCCGTGGCATCCAAGCACCGAGACGGTGACACAGGAACATGTCTTTGGGGGTTTTTTCCCTCTCTCTCTCTTTTTTTTTTTTGGTTTTGTTTTTTTTTTTTTGTTTTTGTTTTGTTTTTTTTGTGTGATTTTTTTTAAGCATGTGAGTCTTTCTGATTCTCCTTGCTGTAGAACAGTCCCACTGAGTGCTCTTTGCAGGATCAAAATTCAAGTGCTGTATTGCAGCTCCACCAAGACTGACACAGGTGTTGTGGGTAGATCTCCCTCCAGAGAAGGGAGGGGCGGAACAGCATTTGGGAAGCAGTATCATCTGGCAGATGTCTCCACAGACATAATTATAAGTGGGGTGATTTGGGGTGATATGGTGTGCTCCTAAAGGTCAGCTGGGTCACAGATACCTCCATGCTATTTTTAAACAAATGGGCTGCAGAAGAATCCTTTTATAGCTATACAGTGATTTGGCTTGTGTGGCCATGATATTTTGAGCTGATCCCTGGTGCTCTAAAAACAAGCTCATGATAGCACTTAGCTGTAGTGCAGGGAAATTTTGGGTGTTTTTATACAAGGCATAGTATCTTCTAAGTTATTATTCCATCTTTGCCTTTACATTAGTTTTGGAGTGATGGGAATTATTCTGAGTGTAATGCCACAGCAATGTTATTGAAATGAAACAAAACACCATGTTTGTAAAGTGAGGACAAATAGCTGATTCTTAAATTCTAATGGCTAGCATAACACAACTTTGCCACAGTCTAACCAAGAATTTTTTTCCCCCCAAGTCAGCCGTTTTGAGCATGATTTGTATACTGTGGAGCAGCAGAATCCCTGTGTATTTAAATCCAAGCTTGTTGGCATTGACTATTTTCTTGTTTACCACAAGATGGCATTGGATAATATTTTGTACCTTCTCTTGGGTAGCTCATACTTTCACCTGGAATTGCAGATAAAGTTAATTTTAAAGACAGTTTTTTGAAGAGGTGCATGGGCACTATCTAGATTTAGGCATAAATTTGAACTTTTGGACTGCAAGGTCCACCATTTTGGTAGTCTGGTTAATACCTTTACACTGATCCAGGTACCCTCCTGTTTTATCCTTATGCAGATAACTCTTGGAGTTCTTTTGGTCTGTATTTGTACAAAGTTCAGAATGCTTCAGGTAGATGCCTTGGGCTGAGAGGACATCATCTCTTGCACTTCCAAAGTTGCTTGAACTGTTAATGATTCCCACTGGAATAGCAGAAGGAGTGCATGTCAGGAATTGATCTTGTTTTACCTGAAAACATGTAGAGGAATCTCAGAAGTAAAAATGACTTTCTGGAAACTGCTGTGTTGATCTAAATTCCTGCCTTTTTATGTATTTCAGGAATCTGCACCTCAGAGCACAACCCTGCTTTTGGCGCTTTACAGTTTGTGATTTCACCGTGTGGTTGGGAAGGTGGCTGTTAGAAGAATATTGGAAAAGATTTATAAACAGAGATTTGTAAATAGTCATGGATATTTTGAGAAACTGTCTCATTCTGAGGAGGGGCTTCTGAGCTGACAGTAGTAACCATAGCCATGGGGATTGCAACCAGGTGCATGGCTTCTGTCAAGGGAATAGATGTGTGTGTACATCTGCAAATCTGGGCTTTCCAAAAGATGAAAGGGTAATACCAATGTTCAGTAATAGAAACAGCTTTTAGGAAATGAATGCTTTTATTATCTCGTGTTTAATTCATTCTTTTGAAAAGAGTTTTCCAGCAATTTTTAAAAGAATGAATTTTTAGAAGTGTTTATTCATTTTGATCATCTCTTTTCTGGGGTTCCTGTGTTCCTTTTGGCATATCAAATATCACATTTCACAGACTGCCTATGGGTTGTGCTCAGATATAGGGCTTGACAACATCTGACTGTGGGCACTTACAATCTGTATATAATGAAACAATTTCATCATTGCTCTCCCTTTCCCTGAGGTACTTTATCTCTTCAGTATGAACAATAGCAATAACATGTCACAGTATGTGCATATATGTGCTTAATGCTATACTGTTTACTTGCTTTCTTTACTTGGAGGTGACCAGGCAGTATCTCTTTTTTGCACTTTCTCTTGCAAAGTGCAGTTTTTCTTTGAGGTGAAGAAGGCTGTAGAGTTTTGGGTCTTTTTTTTTTTTTTTTTAACCACACAAAAAATGTAGCTGCATGAGAAATATAGTAGAGTATGATTTGCAGAAACACTTGTTCAAAAGATTATTTGAAAGCATAATGCAGGATATGCGTGATGCACAAAAAGAACTACAACATCAATGTGACATCCCATCAGGTTTGTTTTTCTTGTGAGAAAGAATAAAGAATTATCCTACTTAACTTTTATTTTTGTACTTTCTGTTCAGCTGGGCTGCAACTTGAGGTTTGTGTTTGATAGGAGCTGCTCTCATGTACAGGATTAATGTCTCACTGTTAGTGATACCATTAACTTAGATTTACTTTTCAAACTTTTGCCAATTACCTCTGGATGGCAGTAGATGTAGTTATAAGATGAGTCAATCAATTCATAAGCCTGCTGTGAGGATTGTTATGAAGAACAGTTTTATCAGGCAAACTCAAAGTGCTGATAATTTTGGAAAATAGTAAAAGTGCCCTTAAAATATCCACACTATCTCCAAATAATTCCCTTCCCTTTGTTCAGTACATTTTGAAGTAAAAATCTGTGCTGTAGAATTTTTTTTTTTGTAAAAGGGAGAAGTTGTTTGCTCACTGAAGCTATAT